CCAGCAGCCCCCAAAGGCTGCAGAGGGCTGTCAATCAGACATTCATTAACCCTTTAAAGCCTGGACCATGAAATAATGGACAGAAAATATTTTTTTTTATTTAGAGTTGTCATTGAACTCTGAAAAATGAAAGAAAAAGAATAAATATATATATATATTTTGTATGAGTTAAATTAAATCCTTTATTTGCATCAATTTTGATAAATTCGGCATTTCTGTAGAATATTTTATACGTTTTCTGTTCACTGCGTGTGTCTGATTGTTTAAGTCAGGGTTTTTAAGATAAGCAAGATCACACTGATGATGCAAAGATCTCATGTATCAAATATGATACAATTGGTGTTATCCCTGTAATGCCTAATGTATCATATTTGATACATTCGGTTTCTGAAACGTTTTGCGTCTGACACCTTTTGCATAATTTAATGGTAAAAACTTTGCTCAAAATCCTATTGTGCACAATCAGATATACCTGATAACTCAGGGCAGAAGACTACACAAAAAATAATCTTGACTTATCGCATAGTAATAAATTATTATCAAAAATTTATTTCTGTTTTTTCTTTTTACATATTTTGTTAAAAGGCCAAATACGGACTTCAAACCAAAAAAATTATTTTCTGTTTTGTTTTATTCTTGGATCGGGCTTTAAAGGGTTAAAATTGTCTTCTTTAGGACACTAGTTTCATAAAGTAGTGTGATTTATTTCACCAAACATCTAGTAGGAACCGCTTTTAATCACATTTAATAAATCCTCAAACAAAAACGATGAAAGAAAAGGAAAAAACAATAGAAAAAATTAGCAAATTAACCCATTTTCAGGAGTTTTATAATCATTGATTCTAATTTATCATTTAGATAATAAACTGTACAGCAATTAGGGCTCCGTGCTCGGCCCTACCCTGTTCACCATCTACATGCTCCCCCTTAGTTGTGTCGTCGGCAGGCATGGGGTCAACTTCCATTGCTATGCTGACGACACACAACTTTACATTAAAATGACTCCTCCCAGCTCCCCCGCCAACTCTGTCACCCGCCTCAGCTCCTGCCTGGAGGATATGAAGGCGTGGATGAGTCAAAACTTCCTGCAGCTTAATGCCTCAAAAACAGAGGCCATCCAAACTGGTACTCCTCATCAACTCCGTTCCTCTCCTCTCACCTCTGTTTCATTCTGTGGTCATACCATTCCCCTCTCCCTCTGTTACAAGCCTTGGGGTCAAGCTTGACCCCCACCTCTCCTTTGACAATCATGTCACCTCCATCTGCAAAACGTCCTTCTTTCACCTCCGTAATATCTCTAAACTCCGTCCCTCCCTATCCCTCCCTGCTGCAGAGAAGCTCGTCCACGCCTTCGTCTCCTCCAGGCTGGATTACTGCAACGCTCTCCTCGTCGGGATCTCTGGCAGGAGCCTTCAGAAGCTCCAGTATGTACAGAACAGCGCTGCCAGGGTCCTGATGAGGGTGAGGAAACACCAGCACATCACTCCCATCCTTCACACTTTACACTGGCTGCCCATTCACGCCCGTATAGAGTACAAGATTCTTCTGCACACCCATCACTGTGTGCACGGTGCGGCCCCCATGTATCTCACTGAACTGCTCACACCACACACCTCTTCCCGGACCCGGTCAGGCCAACAGCACCGTCTGGCCCCACCCAGGACACGGCTAAAAACAATGGGCGACAGGGCCTTCGAAGCCGCAGCTCCCCGTCTGTGGAATGCCCTCCCAGACCACCTTAGGGCCCCACAGACGGTGGATTGTTTTAAGAAAGGACTAAAAACTTTCCTTTTTAGAAATTCCTACAATTGTTGATTTTAGATTTTCTTTAATAGGCTACGTATGCCTTTTAATGTATTGATTTTAATGACTGTCTTTTTACTCTGTTTTTAATGTTATGGTCTTTTAAACTTGTTTTGTAGCACTTTGAGATTTGAAATCAAATGTAAAGTGCATGATAAATAAAATTCATTAATTATTAATTAATTAATTATTCACCACTATCGATTAATAATAAAAAAAGAGAATAAGGCCAAATAAGAATCCGTGTATCATTCGTTCTTTCTATTTTCAATTGCCAATCAAAAAACAAAAAATAAAAAATTGACTGGTTATTTTGTTTTTTGTTTTTTATCGTTAAACCAAAAACGAAAAAAGGATTGGTTTTTCATATTTCAATTCTAAGCTCAGATCAAGAATACGAAATGGAAAAACGGACAGCAACGCAGAATTTGATTTTAATATTTAATCGGTACAGTTTACGTGACCCGGAAATAGCTCTTTGCGCAGCAGTTGGGGTAATGAAGTGGCTACCATGGCGACGCTAGAACCACACACTATGTTGATCGAGAAGCTGTTTGTTGTTGCTAGTTAAAAGTACAGTGCACAGAAAAGTTTCAAGAAAAAAGTTATACCTGGAAAATCCTGCAAATTTTCTCCGTTGTCATGTCCTCCTCAAGAGTCACACGCTTGGATCCTCGAAATAAAACGTAACTGTCCATGGCTGATAGGTCCGACTGCCTTATCTGGTGCAGTTTGATCGAACGTGGTGGGAGTAAGCCAATTGTTTTTTTAGCTAACGCTCCACCAAACTTCCGGGTCATGTAAACTGTACCGATTAAATATTAAAATCAAATTCTGCGTTGCTGTCCATTTTTCCATTTCGTATTCTTGATCTGAGCTTAGAATTGAAATATGAAAAACCAATCCTTTTTTTCGTTTTTGGTTTAACGATAAAAAACAAAAAACAAAATAACCAGTCAATTTTTTATTTTTTGTTTTTTGATTGGCAATTGAAAATAGAAAGAACGAATGATACACGGATTAATAAGGAATTCAAACAAAAAAAAAGTAATTTTCTGTTTTGTTTTATTCTTGGATCAGGCTTTAAAGGGTTAAGGCAGGGAAACATTTAACTCTGTAGATCAGTGGGTCCGGAGGAGCCAGTTTAAAAGCTACTATTATAGAGCCGCTATATTATTTTGTACATTTAACAAACACATTAGGATTATTTGAAAAAAGGTACGGTATCAGTATCCCCAATGCTAGACTGTATTTTACCGAGTTTTTGATTGTAAAGGAAATTGGTGAGATTGAACTAATTTGCGAAGATTATTTATGAGACAGAATCTGTTCATCCATCCATTCATTTTCTGTCACGCTTATCCCTGCTGGGGTGGCGAGGGGTTGCTGGTTCCCTCCAAAGCAGAAACAGATTCAGCAACCAACCAATTAAGAGAAAAAGCAACCCCCCCCCCCATTTCATATTCAGTGAAAAGTCTCGCTAATTTATTACGAAATGTTTCACTTTCTTTGACAATGTTGCACTGAGATAGACCCCTTCCTGCATCTAGATTAAACACAGCCTCATACACCCAGAGTCCCTCTGCTAACAGAACAGAAATACATTTTGTAGTTTTTGTTCAGGTGACAAAATAGCTGAATATTTGAAATTATGTTAAAGAGATCATTTTTAGTAAATGTATTTAACGTTTTTAATCTCTCTTACTGGTTGGATCCAAGCGTTCCAAAACATCCAGATTAGAGATTAGGGGATGATGCCTTTAAGGGACTTTCAGGAAAGCTAATAATGACTCTCCTAGCTGATGAGTTGGTAACTAAATCCGTTACTTTTCTGTTGCTTTATATTGACACACAACTGAATACTATTGATTTTTGTTTATAAACAGAAATATAATTGTTAGGTTTATTCAATGATGATTATGAAATTAATGTGTGCTTATGAAACTCCTGTGTCATGATTCAGTCAGGAGGCCATCCTGCCTCGTCATTCTGTCTTCATGAACTGATCAACTGTTCTGTCAGAACAATACTCTGTTTGTAACCATGCGTCATGTTCTGTTAATAAAATAATCTGCAGAGGAGGTCCAGGAGGAGACTGGGGTTCAACTGTCTCTCCTTTCTGCAGGAATTGTATCCATAATTCGTGTATTTCAGTTCTTCTTAAGAAAAAAACCTACATTTTATAAACCCGACAATAATGTAGTATTTATAGCTTTAGAAACTAGTTAGGAATTAAATTATATCCAATAATATTGCTGCTGGAAACAGTGGCTTTAAAGGCACACTATGCAACATTTTTCAGTTAATTAATGTGTTCCATAACGTTTTGGATGATTAAATGAGTCATTTCAGGTGTATTCTCGGCCGCCCTGGTGGTCTGTGGGGGAAATACCGCACTTGCAATTGCAGGAGCACCGACCCGCACCCACAGGCTCAGAAGTCTCGCGAGAGTCGGTCTTGCTTTGCGGCGAGAACTGCTACACGCCCCCAGTTAAAAGCATGCTCGTTGCTAGCACAGTGGCGATCTTTGTGCAGTTATCATGGCGGAACCAGCGAGAAAACAGCGAAAGCCCATGTCGGAGCAGGCAAGAAAGAGGAAAAGGGCTCCGGACAGAGAGAGGAGTCGTACACGGGTGAACATCGGGCATTTTCCGAATGGCGAGAGCTAAAATAAAAAGAAGGCTGCAAGGCTGACGCGGACCTCGCGTTTCTGCTGATGCGATTGTGAGTAACATTGGAATGGTTTCTCTCTCTCTCTGTGCATGTTCATACTTTCACTGTTAGTCATTCGTTGCGTTCGCCTGTCTGCTAAGCTCAAAACAACCGCGCCTGGCTTGACGGAGAAACCAGGAGAACAGCTGAGCATATTTACGACAGTGCACTTTTACTTTCGCCCTCTGGGGCTGGAAAATCAACACCGGTTGCATAGTATACCTTTAAAAGAAGTTCTACCATTCTGCTTTGCTTGGTTTTTTTCATTAATTTTGTTTTATCTTTTTACTTATACATTTTTTTTACTGTAACTAAAATACTTTCAATAAACCTAAACTCAAGTTTTGCTGAAACAAAAACATAGTGAGATGAAAATTATCCAGCTGATCGTTTCCAAAAACTCAACAAAGACGCTCAATAAAATCTTACCTTCGTTTCCATCTTCTTTACCGGTTTTTGCACACAGCTACAGTCAGTCACCACAGTAAAAAACAGAAACCCTCTTTATTTATACAACCTCACAACTTTCCAAAATAATATATATTTTTTTGTTGTTTATTTTATTTAAATCTTTGGTTAGTATAGATGCCAAACAAACAGTAACATTGAACTTCATGTCGACGCAGAACTCCAACATCAGCTCGGCTCCAGACTCGCTCTGGATCTTTTCTCTGTGCGTTTTGTGTTTCTTACAGAAAATAAAATAAAGACATCTGCAGCAGTCTTTACACAAACTCATCCTCTTGTTTTTGTAAAAGTCATGCCTGTAATAAACACTTAAAAGTAACAGATCATGTATAATTTAACAAACACTACAAAGAAAAGAAAAACATCTATAAAGTCCCACACATCAACGAACGACAAGTAGAAATTAAATAAAGTCTCCTTCTCCTCACAGAAGTGCAGGAAAACGGGACTCGGTTTGGATAAAATACTGCACGGCTAATCAGGAGCAGAAACTGTGGAGGTATACGCAGCGCAGCGAGCGGGTGGGGGGGGGTCATCCTTCCTCCTCAGAGCCTCTGAAGCAACATAACATGGGTTGAAATGCCCTGATTCAGCCGCATAGAGACCACTGAGAATAATAATCCTGTGTTTATTTCAATGTTCCCGCGGAATAACGAAAAAATGAAAATGATCAAAGTAAAACCAGTGCAGCCGAAACTCAGAGCTGCACTAATAATCATACTTCCACAGTTTCCTTGTGGTCATTTTGGCACTTTTTTTTTTCCTTCCTCGTACAGAACTCATCTATTCAGTCTGGGACTCAAAATTCTGCTGAATATAACATCATAAAAACACCCAAACAAGACTAATAACAATAAAAAAAAATAAACAATTGCCTTCTTCTAGCTTCTTTTGAAACAATCTAGTGGTGCTGACAATAATATTGGCTTGAGAAAAATCAAGTGAAAGTGAGTTAAGTGCTCAAAGAAAGGATGTGCAAAGTTAACAGTGCTGTAACCAGAACAGTTTGGGGAGATTCGTCGTCGAATCGCAGCCGACTAACGTTTAATACCAACAATCCTCTTCATCGGGTTTTAGTGGAAATCTTTAAAACGTTCCACTATCGCATGCTGTTAAACAGCTTATTTAAAAACCAAAAAAAAGTAAAAATCTCATCACATATTTGTTCCCAACCAAACACTCCAGCAGATCTTCTAAAAAGCACAAGCTGAACGTTAGTTATGGCTATTTTCCCTAGAAACAAAGATCTTGAATGGAAATGTGAAGGGTTGCAGATGAAGCCTCCCACAGGCTGGTCCTTTAACACGGAGAGACGCGGCGAGGCGTTGACGCGTGAGGAAGAGGAGCAGTGTTTACCCGCAGAGCAGCGTCTTAACTAATTCAATCGGATCGAACGTCTCCGCAGGTCGACCTTTAACCTCTGTGAGGGTTTTCCTCGTAGGTCCAGAGCTGAACGCAACAGAAACAACATGGAGAAAATAAACAAAGAAAGCTAAAAGGTTGAGATGAACGACGTAAAGAGAGAAGAGGTGGCGACTCCACAACATCAATACACGACGGAGCGAACAGAACGGTTCAGGTTAGCTGACGGATATAAAGTGTCTCTAGGCTCTACCTTCCCTCAGAGAGGGGGGGGGGGCACACCAAAGTCCTTCAATCAGTCATGAGCGACCCCTCCCAGCTATGCAACAACCACCTACCCTTCATACAACCATACTGGCCTTTTTCCTTAAAAAAAAAAAGCCTGGTGATTGGTATCCATGGCGACCCGCCCTCATGTGCAGTGATAACAGTTTTCATTCTTTCTTTCTCTTTTAGGAGTAGATGGTGATGACTTCTCGGCCTCCTCCGCGCACCAGGAGGACGCGGTTCAGGCCTTCCAGCAGAACCTCCAGGAACTCCATGTCTGAGAGGACAGCAGTCAAGGTCAGTCAAGGTAGAGACGGGAAAAACACGCAGAGCGTTCACACCGACTGATTTTGCTATCCCAACACGCATCACCTGGTACCAGACGGACCAGAGCGGTTCTTCAGGAGAGTCGGACTGAAGGTAGAATGGAGTGGAAGTCTGAGGGGCGTTCAATAAAGCCACCTGTCACACCTTAACGATTTAGACCAGTGTATGAAAATGCTGGCAAACGTTGGTTTAGTTATGGGTCTGCTGATGCACGCCGACATACGGCGACTACGTCGAGAAATTTAGAAGATCTTCAAAATTTAAGATCATTGTGTTTCCCTTTGGCTTAGTTAGACCTCAGCTTGTGTAATTAGGGACATCCCCTGACTTTAATAAATAGTGAGGAGAAAGCTGAAGACCGGCAGAGTGGGGTGGAGATTTGTAAACTCCGCAGTTTCTTCCTACTCTCCTCGCGAGTAAAACTAAATTAATTCCGTAAAAATTCAAAAAATATCCACTGGACTTGGTTTTCAAGATTTGAAGACGTTTCGCCACCTCTCCAGGAAGCTTTCTCAATTCAAATGTCTGGATCCGCAGTGAGTTTGAGTCTTATATAGACACGCCTTGTATCGCTTGGAAACATGCAATGGTAACCGATGAATGGGTCGTTAGTTCCATCGTTAGCCTGTAATATCTGAACCTGTCTATGATTCTAGGGGTCGGTCGTTAAAGGGGGGATTGCCATTAACGGGGGGGATTGTCTCCTGTAATACCTGAAACCTGTCTATGATTGTTAAGGGTTGGTCGTTAAGGAGGTATTGTTCACCGGCTGGGGCGGGTAGGTCCCTCGTTCCTCTGTGATGGGGTGGGGGGTTTGGTGATATCTGGAAGGGATCATGTCTATGATTGAATTGTATGTTTTTGGAAGCTGGAATCTGAGTCCACCACCTCTGTTTAAAGTTGGTTTTTCTCTCTTAACATAGATGGCTTCCTTCACGCCCCTCTCCATAGCCATCTTCTCTCTCGCATATCAGCGTATCTGACGTGTTCCAGACAACTGCTGAACATTTTTCTAACTTACAGCTACTGTATAATGGCGTACTGACAGCGTTTTTTTTGTTTTTACGGCAATAGTGGCTCGTTTTTTCGACAGTAGGCTGACAGGAAAGGGGGTATGACAGAGGGGGAGAGACATCGGATTCGAACCCCGGTCGGCTGCGTCGAGGACTAAGGCCTCCGTACATTGGTCGTGTGCGCCACCTGCTGCGCCACCTGCATGTATTGGCAGCGTTTTGGTATAAAAGGGGATTGCAGGAGGAAACCATCAGTTCTCCTCCAGGCTTCCTCTGCATCGTACAGTGAGCGAGAAGGTGAGAGATGGATCCTCCCTGCGTTCACGCCGATGACCAACAAGCTTCCTAGCAGCCATGACGCTGAATCTGCTGCAAATGCAAACCTTCTTTCTTTTTTATTTTTATTTATTCTTAAATAAACAGCAGCTAGGTTAATACAATGATCAAATTAATCTTTTTATGCAAACTGATGCTTCGTAGTGCCCGTGAAACGCTGCCCTGCACTGTGCATAAGTTAGGCTGTCTTTGGACATAAGTACGCCATGTATACGCCCAATATTGAAAAAAAGTATGCCAGCGTTTTAGGAGATTCTGGAACATCAGGCATACGCTGGCTAAATCAGCAAGGTGTGACAGAGCCCTAAGTAATTCCTCTGACCCTCTTCCAGTTTTTTGATCTCACTGAAATTATTTATATTTCTATTGATTAAGAGGCAAATTACAGTGGTGAACCAAATGTTGTGTCTAATTTACAGTTTAGAGTTTAATCTGAGCCAAGTCTGAAATGGAGCCTGTTGAGTGTCGAGCGGTGATACGGTTTTTGTATTTGGAAGGAAGACGACCGCAGGAGACTTTAGATGAAATTAAAGTAAGTTACATCATATGACCTAGTAGAACGTTTTACGAAGTCATACGATGGGGCATCATATGGCCTTTTCATGAAAAGTCTCCCATGGTGAACGTCCTTTTAAAGTAAATAAGAGAATTGCTTAGAGAAAGTAAGCATAATTCTTTCTACTATGTATTTATGCTAATTTACTAGACAGTGCTGGAACAAACAAAAGGAGGAAGATTATTAATGAATCAAAGGAAAAGTTTAGTAAAGTCTGGTGGATGTTTTGAACCTTTAAGACAGGCGTGTCCACGCAATCCTGCAGCTTTTAGACGTCTATCTGTTCCATTAACAGGCCTTTTCTGACCTGCAATCATCAGAATCCGCTCTGCTGAGGCAGAGAAACCTCTAAACCTGCAGGACAGCGGCCCTCCAGGAACGACTTTGGAAAGGCTTAGATGCAAATAGAACCAGAATATTTATTCTGTCTTTAACCTTTGGTATCTTCAGCTGATAGACGCCTCTAAATGCGCTCTTCTTTAACGGCCGTCCATAAAGCTTCCCTGAGAGCCGTGGGAATGAAGTGGATCAGAAAAGCTGCAGATGGACAGTTTAACTGTGGGCTAAACTCCCTGTAAGACTCTATAAATCCAAGAGGAGCCGGTAGCTCCAGTGTAGAAAGCTCAGGCTTTCACAGGGCTCCTTAGCTAATAAAAACCTGCTCCCAGGTAATTCCAGCCGGTGGAAGGATACAGTTTTCATCTCCTCCTCTGTTCTTCGGTGGTCCCGGCATGTTGAGCAGCACCAGATGGGCTCCCTGCGACTTGTTGACCACCACCTCGTTCAGCTTGACCGCCGTGTGCATGCGACGGACGTTCGACTGGTTCCTGAGCAGACAAACACGCCACAGTGAGGGAAGCAGGGAAGAGTGTATGGAGTGAAATTTGGTCCATTGTTTTTGCACCATAGAACATGTTTCATAAATGGAAATAAAAAAATCCAGAATGGAAACTATGAAAGTTTAACTCAAAAAAAGTTAAGAAAATAACTTTTTTGTTTTCTAGTTTTTTTTTATATATATAATTTTCCAAGTTTATTTTTCATATCCAATTTTTTTCAAAAAATATGACAATTTTTTGTAGATATATTTTTTACATTTTATCTTTAAATAAATCTTTCCACAAATGTATCTTTCGGATTAATATAATGTGAAGAGAATAAAAAAAAAGTTACAAATCTGTCAGAAAACAACTTTGAAATCAAGTTAGAAAAAAAGAAATACATTTTGAGAAAACAGTCTGTAATAAAATAAAAAAAATAAAATACAAAAACAAAAACATCTACAAAAACAGCTAAATGACTCAAACCCTTTTCTTTTAATAAAAAAAAAACTTTTTTTTGCATTCATTTAAAATTTTCCATTTACAAAACATGTTCTTTACTTGCAACAATAATGGAACAAAATTCACTCCATAGCACAATGGTTTAAGGAACGATTTGCTGCGTAAGGAGGTTTGACAGAGAAGAAGGCGACTTTTTGTTTGTTAATCAGAAATCAGGCAAAGTTAGAAGCGTTTTCATCCCAAACAAAGAGGCAGAGCTGTTCACACCTCAAACCTGCCGATAATTTAGCCCATTTGAATTTAAATCCAATTTTAACCATCAACGCTTCCTCTTTGTTTTAAAGCCACACGTCATTAGGAAACACAGCACAGAAGCAAAGTCAAATGTCTGTTTTCATTGCGGTTTGAAAAACATGGATGTTCAAACGCTAAAGCCAATAAAATCACATCATCATCATCATCATGCAGCTTAAATCAGAGGAGCTTATCCAGCCAGCATCAGGTTTAAAACTGCAGTCAGAGCAAAAAAAACAAAACAGGAACACCAGACATGAGCAGGAGGACGGTGAGAAAAAGGTGGAGTCACCACGGCAACAGATCACAGAGGACCCGAGGGAGGGAGGGGGGCAAAGAGAATGCAACTTACAGACTCTCCCACTCTCTAGAAGGAGGAAAATGGGACAGAACAACAGAAACAGGCTTAGATGCTTCTACAACACCGCATGCTTCCAACCGTCACTGCTGACCCACTGGAACCGCGGCAGAGTGACATGAGGCTGTTTGATGTCTGCTGGGACGCTCCAGGTCAATCTGCCTCACAAACCGTCTGATGTTCTGTGGTGAACCAGGTTAGTGAACGAGATGCGCACGCTTTCCCGCCATGCCATGAAGGACACTCATGCGTGCTCACTGTAGCCGTCACGCTGAGGCGGCTCGGGCTGGTAACCTCATCAAACACCGCCATGTCACGCCGCTAATGATCCCAGCTGCAAACTCTGGGGTTTCTGAGTGGAAATACTCACGGCTTCATGTTGAACAGGTCCCGGACCGCCACGTTGGCGTTGGCCTCCCGGTTGCGGTTCCGCTCCGTGAAGAGCTTTTCCCTGGTCCAGGTCATGTGGACCCGCTCAGGACCGGCTTCGGCCTTGTCGTTCATGGCGACGTGAGCGGCTGTGTTCTTGTCGTGGATGAGCTGAGCCTGAGAGGAAGGCAGAGGACGCGATAAGGAAGGATACCTAAAAAAAGAAATCCGAGGGAGGATTCGGTTCTATGAGAAAGAGATGGAAGACGGAATGAGAGAGGAGATGCATGCAGAGAGGTTCCCTGCAGGAGAACGCCGTCGTTCTCTGCGTTCTGAGGCTGCATGCATGCAGGTGAAAGTCAAGGTCACAGGGAGGCAAGGTGTTTGCTAAGGATGCTGCTATCCGAACACACCACTGATCTGTTTCCTGTTGGAGTATGGAGGGAAGTTTGTTCCATTATTGTTCCAAGCAAAGAGTGTTTTAAAAATCTAAATTTGAGAAAAAGAAAATCCAGAAATTTTGTTAGATGTAGTTTTTCTAATTATTTTGTCTTTTCATTTGTTTCATTGTTCAATTTATTATGCATGTTATATGTTGAATTTCTATTTGTACTTTTAAGTTACATTATCTTCAAATTCTTTCACGGATCACATTATCTTCACTTCAACAGAAATATGAAAAAACATCCATAATAAAATACATGAAGTCTAAGAAAACAGCTACGTTTCTCCTTTTTTCTCAACGGTAACTTTTCCAATTTTTAATTAATAGATTACATTTTTTCAAATTTACATTTACAGAACACGTTCCTTTATGGGAATAATGGAACTAAATTGCCTCCATAGCATAGAAACAGCAGGGAAACCCCAGCACAGTACGACAAAGCACCGATGGCCTCCTTCGTTCTGCACGAAGTGATGAAAGCTCTCAATGGCCGACCAGCTGTACCTGTTAAAACACCATTAAGAGCCAGAAACTTAAACATACAAACTTTTTATGACCACTGACCACAGATCCCCACTTTAGCATGAAGGAGGCTACAGAGTTAGCTAAAAATAAATAACACGTATAAGGAGCACTGATAGTAGTGGTCATTACTATTGACAAATAGTGAAATGCATGTTTAGGTAAATATAAATCAATATCAGGAAGGAGTCACCATGAAACAGGGTTTAATTTTTCATCAGTCTAAGAAATTCAAAATAAAAATCTGATCACAAAGTAGCTTTAGAGTTAGCTATCTTTGACTTTCCTGAAAATGAACCAGAAGCAAGGTCTGGGAGAGAGTGTGATTTCATGCAGATAACAGGAAGGCTGACCAGAGCGCAGCTAAAATGCACTAATGTGATGGAAGAAGCTGGAGTTGGGAATGTCAGCAAACTTTTAGAAACTTCTGACTTAAAGGAATAGTACACCCGAAACATGATTAGCCTTCATTTTCTACTCACCCCCATGCTGAACAACACTCTGGAGTACTTTTTTGATATCTCAAATGCATCTGGAGATCTGGGAGGCTTCTTGCTGTCTGCTGACATTTAAATAATGGAGGTCTATGGCGCCCGAGACAGAAAGGTCCATAAAAGTCCACAAAAAACTTGTCAATATTCCTCCATACTGCTCGTCCAATGTATTCCAAGTGTCCTGAGTGGGTAGCATCCAGAATTTACTCGAAACGAAGTCATTTAGAATGTTTTTAGAGCATAAACAGTAGTGTATAGGATTTCCTGAAAGCGCGCACCTGCGCGATCACGACGCTACGGAAGCCGGCAGACCAAACTAGCGCATTCAGAGAACTCATGCTCTTCCTCAACACTGAAGTCCTCAGACATTTTTCTTTCGTTGTTTCTTTCTTTGCACAGGTAAACAGCACATTTCTTCTTCTACGCTTGCATTATCGGCAGAGCAGACGCTGAATGCGCACTTTCATCTGGTTTGGTCTGCCGCGGTTTCCGTAGCGTCGTGAACGCGCAGGCGCGCGCTTTCAGGAAATCCTATACACTACTGTTTATGCTCTAAAAACATTCTAAATGACTTCGTTTCGAGTAAATTATGGACGCTACCCACTCAGGACACTTGGAATACATTGGACGAGCAGTATGGAGGAATATTGACACGTTTTTTGTGGACTTTTATGGACCTTTCTGTCTCGGGCGCCATAGACCTCCATTATTTGAATGTCAGCAGACAGCAAGAAGCCTCCCAGATCTCCAGATGCATTTGAGATATCAAAAAAGTACTCCAGAGTGTTGTTCAGCATGGGGGTGAGTAGAAAATGAAGGCTAATCATGTTTTGGGTGTACTATTCCTTTAAGGTAAGGGCCACCCTTCTCTCAGGAATATGCAGGCAGACTGCTGATTAGTAATGCTAGCTGTGCTAGTTGCTAATGGTATTTATTTTTATAAGGGCAGCAACACCCCAGCTTCTGATAGAAATAATGATGATTTTAATAGTTTACTAAAAGCAAAACAAAAACAAAACTCTGATCTGTTCTTTTCCATAAAAAAATAATAATATGTGTTTAATTATGTTAGCTTAGCGGTCGGAAGCAGAGGAGCTGCATTTGTTCCATTACCTCCAGTGATCTGTTGTAAAGTTTGTTGCTCAGTTCGGATGCATTTATGAAGAACTTTTGCACAAGTTTATCAAAAAGTCAGCAAGATGCAGTGGAGATGCTTTTATTTATATATTTTTTTATTTCCTGCAGGGAAAAATTAGCAGGTGCAGGATGCCTCCATGATTGCCTAGAAACATCTACAGCTGAGGTTCAATAAAAATATAGGAAATATGGAGAAAAGAGACAGGAATGTTTTGAGGGTTAAAGCATTCACTTTAAAATATATATATATCAAGGTTCCTATGATAATGCTATCCTATCTGTGCTATGGGTATGGGGGGGGGGGGTGTGGGAGGAGGAGGAAGGTGGTGAGCAGACTCAGGATGAGGGCTGGTGTTCACAAAGCAGCTTTCATGACTACACAGTAAGTAGCTCTACTATTGGTCAATCTGGACTCTGCATACTTTATACGTCCAACATGGAGTCGTCCTAAATGTTGCTTCCTGGCTCTTTAAGCACTAAACCTGGATTACTGTTAATAAAAAGCTGGGAGGTTCTAACTTCCTGGAGAAATATTCCTCTAAACATCTTCATTAAACCAAGTAAAGTTGCTGCAGAGCAGAGAAAATTAAACACGCTAAAAAAAAATCATCATTCATCTTCCTAACCTGATGTATATGGAATGAATTTTGCTCCATTATTTCTGCCAGCGAAGGATATGTATATATATGGAAATCTGAAATGAAACTTTTTTAACCCCAAAAAAATAACTTTATATTTTATTTATTTTAAAACAGTTTTTTAAACGTATTTTTACAGATTTAATATTTTAATTTGTAGGACCAATAGAAAACGTTGTTGCCAATGTCCCTGCAGACTAATAGAAATGTGTCTCTACTCCTCTTCTAGAGGAAAGCCCACCCCAGATTTAGAGAATATGATCTTAAAATGCAATAAAATAAAAATATAATTTTTAAATCTCAATCTGAAAAAGTTAAATAATTTTTTTTTTTATTTACTCTGTAAAATGTGAAAAATACTTTAATCTGTAAAAGAAGTAAAAACTTCAAAAACTATAATATAAAAAAAAAAGTTGAAAATAAATAAGTTGAAACATTTTTAAATATGAAAATAAAAATAAATCTCAGGAAGCCCCAAACTTATTCTCAAAATGTCTTTAGGATTAAAATGATTTCAAAAGTCTTCTGTCTGAATTGCATATTTTTTTAAATTTCCTTTTGCAAGCTTTTGTTTTTTACCAGTTAAACATGTTCTTTGCGCTCCAAAAATAATGAAAGAAAATGAGCTGCTCAGATATACGGCCACGCAGACGCCGCAGGGACAAGGACAAAGTCAAAGTAAGAAGGTTAAAAAGCTCAAAGGATTATCCAGACGACTGTTTCCTCCCTTCACTGCAGCGCGGCTCAAAAGGTGACACTAAAAACGCCCTCAGGGGTTTATTTTTAACTGAGCTGTAAACTATGAACATCCATCCAAACATCAGCTATGTTTAGCTAATTAAAACTATCTTTCTGGAATCATAATATCTTCGATCTGACTAGAAGAAGCCAAACCTCAGAAGTACCAGCTTGTTTTTTCTGTTTATCTCCTTATTTGTCCCCAACAGATAAAAGAAAAGCATCAGAAGCTGATTTCAATGATATAATTAGTTGGGATGATGACCACTGTAGCCAGAGCTGGAGCATTGTGAAGACGGCCCTGTGAAGCTAACAGTGACTGGGACGGTGGGTTGATAAAAGTCCACTACCTCGTCCTCCTGAGTGTCCTCCGCCGTGGAGGACTGCCGGCTGACGCTGGAGTTCTCGGCGGCTCCCGGGTTCTTCCTCCGGATCGAGCTACGCGACTCGTCAGTGATACTCTGAATCTGGGCGTTGAAGCGGGGCCCAGTCAGGCGCAGCAGGAAGAACATGGAGAGCGGCCAGTTGTCATAGAGCTTAAGAGTTTGGCTTTAAATCAGCCAGCTAAGTGAGTGAGAGTGTGTGTGTCGCTGACTGCTAATACTGCTGCTAAATTGATGGTATTTAGCAGAAATGGATCCTATCTTGGCTCTCAGAGTCCAAGCAGCAGGATGTAGAGGAATCCCAGAATGCAGCATTGTTAACAATCAGTCAGCTGTTGTGTTCAGGTGTTTGTTTACCTCTCTTTCTCTCTCGGTCCTGGAAAGGTGCATCTGTTTGAGCATTTGAGACCTCTGCTCCATCACCAGCGTCTTCTCATACGTGAAGGCTGAGATATCGTTGTCGTGCTGCAGGGGACAGAAAATACCTCACTGTTAAAAGAGAACTAGATGCACCACAAAAAAAGCCCCTCCTCTGCATTTATTTTCTCTTTATTGCTCCTTTATTTGTCCCGCCCCAGTTACAGGATGCATTTAACTCAATGTAGTTAATTTATATGGGGCTAATTCACATCACAACATCTCAAGGCCCTTTAGATCAGGGGTCCTCAATGTTTTCCAGGCCAAGGAACCCCAAACCGATGGCGAGATGGAGCTGGGACCCCATAATTATATTGTATGAAATAGTGTAGGGATGCGCGATATTGGGATTTTGGCCGATATCCGATATGCCGATATTTTAAAACTCATGTAGCCGATAACCAATATCGATACCGATGTTAAAGCTGGACAAAAATAAGTAGTCATTGAAAATAGCAGTTTTGTTATCCATTTCTGACACTTTGAAAAATAATATACTCAAATATATTTTCATATGCTGATATCAAATAGATTTTTAAAAATGCGGTATCGATCTATTTTACTTTCAAAATCTCGTGAAATTTCATCGTTCTGTTACAAACTCTCGTGATATTTTGCAAATTCTTGTGAGATTTTGTTAGTAAAATAGATCGATACCGCGTCAATATATCAACATATAAAAATATGGCAACATTTTGTGAATTTTCGGGGGATTTCGTAGCATAACGATGACATATAGCAATATTTCATTAGTAACAGAGATTGATATGGTGTTTTTAAATGGCAATATATCAGCATATGAAGATAATGGGATATTTTAATGTATCAATATTTTTTCCCTCATCTTTAGAAGTTTTTAAGTCTGTAAAAAAGAAGTTTTTGAGGAAGAAGAAGTAGTATTTTTTTTTTTTAGACTTTAGAAACTCAGAAGCTGATCAAATATCGGGTTAAATATCGGTGGGGTGGCCGATGTCCGATATTCAGTTTTAAGGCCGATACCGATAGGGGGCCCATTATATCGTGCATCCCTAAAATAGTGTTATATCAAAGTGGTCCTATAGTCACTCTATTACAGTAAGTAATGTAACTAAAGTAATCCCTCCCCGGGATTATTAAAGTATTTCTGATTCCTGGTTGATGGGACAGGTGTTGTGAATGAAACGGTGCCCAGCTAGAAAGAGCTCCTGTGTGTCGCTGAATGTGAGCATTGATGACTGAAAGACATCTTCTGCCTCCATTTATCTGTTTACTACAGTCTGTTGAACAGAGATGGCAAAAGTACTCATTTTCCGTACTTGAGTAAAAATACAGATACTTGTGTTAAAAAATACTCTGGTAAAAGTGGAAGTACTGATTAAACTTCTTTACTCAAGTAAAAGTAACAAAGTACAGGCTTGTAAATTTACTTAAAGTATAAAAGTAAAAGTAGAAACCACTTTTTTCATGCCGTTGCCTACATTTTAAATGGATGTCTGCCAATAGGACTAGATCTCCGTTGTGTTCATTTTCAATCATCTCGTCGTCCATGCTACTATGCTAACGCCACCGCCACCAAGCTGCAATGATTTGCCGCCAATGAATACCCCCGAATCTGTCGATTCATCTTGTAGTGGTGCGTCAAATGCAACGTAGATTCCCATCCAATTAGACTGAATTTGGTATTGATGACGTGAAAAATAATAACGGTAACTCCATTGAAATGATTCAAAACTAAAGTAACGAGACAATTTTTTAAAATGTAAGGAGTAGAAAGTACAGATATTTGTGTAAAAATGTAAGGAGTAGAAGTAAAAAGTCGCCATAAAAATAAGTAGTAAAGTAAAAATATCAGAAAAATCTACTTGAGTACAGTAACGAAGTATTTGTACTTCGTTACTTCCCATCTCTGCTGTTGAATTCATGTTAATGTGGATTTAAAGACATTTCAATTAGTGGAATAAATTGCAGGAGGGATATAAAAAAAGTCTAATCAAGCAAAACACTATTTCATACAATATATATAATTAGGGGGTCCCCACTCCATCTCGCCATCTGATCTAAATATTTCATTCCTAACAGACAGCAGCATTTTGAGCAGGTTTCAATGTTTAATGTTTTCAAATGAAATAAAATTCAAATGTTTTCAAGTTTTTTTTTGTAAGTGTTGGAGCTATTTATTCTTTATTTCTTATCCATTTGAATTGTATTAATTCCTAAACTTATATATTTTTTTGTATTATTTACAGACTTTATTGTTGAATTTTGTGTATTTATTTTTTGTTGTTTTATCGTTTTTTTCTTTCTTTATTTTATGTAAAACAGGAAGAAATGTGGGCGGTCCACTTTCTATAAATGTAGGAGTCTGGTAAGGACCAGCAGGCATTTGGGTTAGGGGCCTATGGGTTTTTACCAGCGCAAGAGAGGTGACAGAGCAAGGAATGTTTGAACTCTGTAATGTCGCAAAAAAATATAGGAAATAAATCAACTGAAAAGTTTAGACTTCAACTTCTTTTGCCTGCGTCAAGAAAACGTGACCCCAGTGCCTAAATAGTGGCTTATTGGAACTTTATTGGATGTTTGGTTTGACAAACGATCGCCACTACAGTAAGCTTCAAACAGGAAACAGTGAGATTAGTCTATATAAAATCAGAATTGACTTGTCAACCTGTTAAAGCTCAGAATGTGGGAATATTTTCTAATCTAACTGTGTCCCAATAACCGTCTCACCATCTCCACCACTTCTACTTCAGCGTCCAGCCGCAGGTGGTACAGGAACATCTGGAGATCCTTCTTCATCTGGATGCTGTTGTCGTCCATCTGGGCGACGGTGAAGATGCGCATCTTGCACTTCCTCCACACCTGCAGGAGGGAAAGCAATCAGAAAAGAATAGAGACAAATACGCTGGGGATGGATGGAAGGAAGGAAAGAAAGTTCTTACCTTGTGCTGCCTCAGCAGGAAGGGCAGCAGCATCAGCATGCCTCCATCATGGACCACCCACCACACATCAATGGTTCCCTCCCCGAGGCGGTCCTGGTTAGTGGGGAAGCTGTCCACATTTTTAGCTACCAGTAAGGCCTGATGGGCTGCTGTGGTCTCACGGACCGTCTCTGCAGGGACAGAAGAGTCCATGGGAGACCATGTTCTACCTGGGTTTGGGTTCTGAGGCGTTTTATCATTATTTCTATCAGTATATTTGGTTTAGTTAGTGTAAATATATTATGAGAGACAGGAGTTGATGGTTTGCTGTACCTATGAAGTTTTTCCAGGACAGTGGGTCATTGGATTGCCTCCAGGTTCCAGGCCAGCCCATCAGGACCGTGTTGTGCTTCATGCCGCCCAAACCGGCGGACTGAATGAGGTGGGAGACTCCATCTCTGAGGTTGGAGGACACCACAACGTGACAGAAACCCTTGGTGCGTTCCGCAGACATCGCTGCCTTGATGTTCTGAAGAAACAATAAAAAAAAGGAAGACGCTTAAAGTTTAATCAACAAGGAAAATTAGTAGTTTAGAGTCTGGTGGAGCTGAACAGTTAGCCTCAGTTTACTTTTAATTTATAATAATGACCAGTAGATGGCAGAGTACACCCCAAGACCCAGTTAAATCTGCAAGAAACGTCTTAAAGCATTAACAGTCTTCATCCATACAGACACAATGGAGCAGCTCGAACAAAACAACTATTCAGATTTAGTGTATTATGAGGTTAAACTGCAAAAAAATGATCTAAAAACAAGGAAACAAGGTGTTGAAATCAGTGTTTGAGCAGGTCAATGATATGACCTGCTAATGGAATCAGTGCATCTAAAACAAGATTATTATTAGTTTTCATAAAAGTTAGAAAACAATCCACTGGACTTTTTACAAGTTTGAAGACGTTTCATTTCCCATCCAGGAAGCTTTTCCAATTCAAAATGTCAGAAGTAGCGTTGAGTTTAAGGCTTTATGTTAGAAATCCAGTTTGTGTGGGTTGTGTTCTTGTGTGTCTTTCTCTTCCTCCACCACCAGGTGGTGCCCTGTTCTCGTGGATCCTCTCGCACACCTGCGGCTGGTTGGTTCATCACTGAGGATTACTTAAGCTGTGGACTGTCACTATCTCGACGCCAGAGTGTTTGCCAGTTTTTAATCTCTAGCCAAGCTGAGATTAGCAGAGTCTAACTGAGTCTGTGTTTTTGTCAACCAGGAAGCCATCCTGCAAGCTGGATGTTTTTGGCCTTCTTCCCCTGGAAGGATTGTTTGAGTCTCACACTGAGCAGGGGATTAACCTCCACAAGTTCCGTTCAAGACCTCCTGGATTCCAACTGACAGTCCGCTCCATAGTGCCTCAGGAACCAACCAAACAAAACCTGTCCGCCCTCCAACGAGTTCCTCCACACAAGAATGGATGCTTGGAAGAAAGTTTCCTCCACTAACGCAAGTCCCGTTTTCTCTGTTTCTCCAAAGTCATCGTTCAAAGTTCCCACGGACCTTGAACTAACCTCTGATACTTCCTTTCCCACTTCCAGTTCCGGTTCACCAGTACACTGAGTTTCCTGAATCTAATCCCGTTCATCTCCTCAATAAACCTGTTAAACTTTTACCCTGGTTTCTCTGAGTGCTTTACTGAATGTGGGTCAGATCCCTTAAGAAAACTCTTTATAGAGTGGACCAAAAATTTCTGACATTTTGCATTGAAAAAGCTTCGTGGATGGGAAGCGAAACATCTTCAAACTTGGAAACAAAGTCCAGTGGATTGTTTTATAACTATTTTGGAAAGACTCTGACCTGATAGAGATTTTGTCCTTTTTTTCTTTATCATATATTATCTTATTCTATGGGAAGACTGTCTTACACTGCTAAAACGATCTAGAAATAAGTAAAACAACATATTCTTGAATTAAGTTTATTTACCCTTAATTTGAGTAGATAAATAAGATAATTTACCAATGGAATTAGATTTTTTAACTCTTAAAATGCTTCTTAGATAAAATGCACTTGAAATAAGACAATGCAATTGTTATTTCATATTTTAAATGTAAATTGTTTTGTTCCATTGGCAAAGTCTCTCACTTTCCTCCTTAATTCAATAAAAACATCACTTATTTTAGAAGAAAATTAGTTATTCAGATTCACATTTTTTGCAGTGTTCTTTCGAAAAATAATTTATTTCTAGAAAACCTGACCGTTATATTTCAGTTTTAAAAAGTTTGACCTCTGTGCTGTAGGTTTGCTGCTGTGTTCATGATGAGGGTCATACCTGCTCGGCCTTCTTGGCCTCTGTCTCCCTAATGAGGTAGGTTCCCTGTAAAACGTTCCCCACTATCGTCAGGCCCTTTCCCGCCTTCAGCTGAGTGGTTAAGGACAGCAGTCGAGGGTGTTTGACCCCTTGATCTGAATCCAGGTTCAGGAGCACCAGTAGCTGAGGCCTGGAAGTAGAAGAAAGAGGGAAGGAGAAGCTTAATGAAATGAGATTAAAAAAAGGATGAAAAAATTAGCTAAAGACTGGAAAACGAAACAGAAACACCAGGTATAACTAATGTGTCACAACAGGTTCAGCCTTTCTGGTCAGAACCTGAATCCACCATCCATCCTTACCTCCAGTTCTTGGTGTGCGGTGGAGCCTCCTCCAGGCGAATGAGGGCGTAGCGGGCGGCGTTAAGGGAGAGGCCTCTGATGCCGTCTCCCCATTCTTTCTCAGCTCTATGGAGGAAAAAAAGTGCTTTTCAACCAAGTATTTGTAGTTTATTCTTTGTAATATTTTCCTCCTTATTTTTTCTCCTGGCTTCCAACAGGTGAGGAGCAGCAGGTAACAAAGTAAAGTTCTGAACGTGGATAACTCCTACCCTCTGTACTCGATGTATTTGTAGATGCAGCCGGCGATCGCCATGGCAATGATGGCATAATACCAGGAAGAGATGAACATGATGGCGAGACACAAGCTCATCCCCAGGAAGGACAGCGTCCTGTTGATGGACCAGCGATTAACAAACAAAGAAACACAAAGTTAAAGTTTTAAGGTCCTGATTCTGAAGGTCTGTCCACCTTAAAGGAATAGTACACCCAAAACATGATTAGCCTTCGTTTTCTACTCACCCCCATGCTGAACAACACTCTGGAGTACTTTTTTGATGTCTCAAATGCATCTGGAGATCTGGGAGGCTTCTTGCTGTCTGCTGACATTCAAATAATGGAGGTCTATGGCGCCCGAGACAGAAAGGTCCATAAAAGTCCACAAAAACGTGTCAATATTCCTCCATACTGCTCGTCCAATGTATTCCAAGTGTCCTGAGTGGGTAGCATCCAGAATTTACTCGAAACGAAGTCATTTAGAATGTTTTTAGAGCATAAACAGTAGTGTATAGGATTTCCTAAAAGCGCGTTCAGGAGTCTACGGAAGCCGGCAGACCAAACCAGATGAAAGTGCGCATTCAGCGTCTGCTCTGCCGATAATGCAAGCGTAGAAGAAGAAATGTGCTGTTTACCTGTGCAAAGAAAGAAACAACAAAAGAAAAATGTCTGAGGACTTCAGTGTTGAGGAAGAGCATGAGTTCTTTGCCGAGCTGAATGCGCACTTTCATCTGGTTTGGTCTGCCGCGGTTTCCGTAGACTCGTGAACGCGCTTTCAGGAAATCCTATACACTACTGTTTATGCTCTAAAAACATTCTAAATGACGCTACCCACTCAGGACACTTAGAATACATTGGACGAGCAGTATGGAGGAATATTGACACGTTTTTTGTGGACTTTTATGGACCTTTCTGCCTCGGGCGCCATAGACCTCCATTATTTGAATGTCAGCAGACAGCAAGAAGCCTCCCAGATCTCCAGATGCATTTGAGATATCAAAAAAGTACTCCAGAGTGTTGTTCAGCATGGGGTGAGTAGAAAATGAAGGCTAATCATGTTTTGGGTGTACTAGTCCTTTAACACCTACCAGTGGTAGTATCTGAAGCGTGGTCTCCAGTTGGGCGTTCGCAGCAGCGTCTGAACAGCACAGGCCAGGTTGACAAACAGGTAGCACATGAGGAAGAACCTGCAGACAACAAGCAAAAACAAACTGATGCATTTCTCACTTATTATTACACTAAATTCCCCCTTTATGACTTTATAATGCTGTTGAACAGTGAGGATACTGAGGGGATCAGACATGATCTGCTTTTATAACAGGAGAGCAGGAACTGATCCAATGCAAACAGATCCTCACATGGAAAGGATAGGAGCTACGGCGTCCAGGGAGGCGATGAGGATGCCGATCTCACAGATCCCGGCGGTCAGCAGCAAAGCCCACGTCGGTTCTCCGTTAGCTTTCCCATGTCCAAACACCTTCCCCCAGACACACAAACAGCCCGCTATTAGCAATGGTCAAACAGGAACAAGAGCTGGCAGCGTGGATCTGTGTCCAACCTGCAGGAAAGGGACGATGCCGTCTCTAGCGATAGCCTGCAGGAGTCGAGGAGCGCCGGTCAAACTCTGCAGACCCGCTCCGCAGCAGGAGAAGAAGGAGCCGATCACAATGACCCAGGGCGAGGGCCAGGACAGCGTGCCGATGACAAGGTTCCCTTTCACCGAATCCCCAAATCTGTAGCATCAAACAAGGAAAAAAGAAAACATTTTGACCAAAGCATTCACCTGTCCTGTCAAAAGAAGATTTTTTCCAGGATGTGTTTCTCTAAGAAACGCTGTTTCTTCGGTAAAATCAGGTTTTTACTCACTTGTCTCTAAGAAGGACTCCCTCGATACAGGCGCCAAAGAGAACCACGGTGGAGATATCTGGGAGGAGCAGCTCAGGAGAATCAACAGACCAGCAAAGGGTTAAATTATCTCATCCATGGTACCTGGTGGCTGGTTTGAGTTTCTATTACCTTCTATGTCTCCAAAAGAGAACAAATAACCCAAAAAAACCTGAGATCTATCTGTGAAGCCTGTTAATAAAGTATCAGAACTGTACGAATTAAAAATAACCTGGAACTGAAAAGTTCTTTATCTTTTCTATCAAAGACTGAGAGGAGTTTATCAACCCCTGCTTCCTATAAAAAGAAGGCTTTTTATGAATTAATTCAAGTATGTTCAATACATTAAATGGTTGTTATGGAAACAAAATGCCTCTCTGCTGCCCACAGGGACAGTTATCAGCCTGATAACTGTGGTTGGATGGAAGAAAAACATGAGACAGTGGATCATAACAGTGAATCTATGAGATTAAAGCCAAACTATTATGGGAATGAAGTCATAATATTTATATAATATTATAATAAATATTCAACAATACGAGATGAGAGACTTAACATTAACAGAATAAAGTTATAAAACTGTGAGAAAATAGTTAAAATATTACAAGATTAAAGTTGTAAAATGAGGAAAATCATTCAGGGTTCGTTCACCTTTTCCAAAGTCAAAATCAAGCACTTTTCAAGCACTTTCAAGATCCATTTCAAAACTTTTTCCAGCACCTTACACCACCACCAGTTGTCGGCCAGAACCAGTTTTGTGCGTTTGACTGCCGGGAGTGGGGGGTTGGGGTAGAGTTTTACTCCTCTGCCATGGCGTAGTAATATAACAAACCAGAGGGTGTCGCAGTTCAGTATTATCAGCCGTAGAGTTATCAATTTAAGGTCTGGGCCTTGGAACGTTGGCGAGTCGGTAGCGGGAGTTTGGCAGCCGCCTCGCCAAGATAGTGCTGCGGGAAACACTGCAATACTAACATTACATTATCACACCGTACTCTCAGTCACTCAGTAACTTAGCCTGTGAATTCCTAGCTAGCAGTTACTAGCGTAAACAAATAGGCGCTAACGTTAACGTGTACTAGGCTACTTCAGTTGGCTTACTTAAAAGTCTATGACTCACCCTTCATGTGACTCGACAGCGCAGACTCGCCCATTGTGAAAAGCTGCACATCTTTTTTGCAGACTTTACAAGAAGCAACTCGTGGGGTTTGTCCTCGTTTAATCCATAATTTGTATTTTTCATCTTCCAGCCAACGTTCATTGAAACGACAACCTCCCGGCATGGTGCAGTAGTGGTTTCATGGGGGCGGAGTCACACATGGAAATAGACTGGCAGATCGCAGTCACACATAAGCGAGCAGGTTTCATTTTCGGGCTCTCCAACATTTTATTTCTCCATTTAATAAACAAACGATTCAGTTAGATAGGTATTTGTTGCGAAAGAAATAGTTACAATTTCAAGCATTTTCAAGCATTTCATCCAAAATATAAGCACTTTTCAAACCTTGAAAACAGAACGTCAAAATTCAAGCATTTTCAAGGATTTCCAGCACCCAAAATTATTGTCAAAATATGGGGAGATTGAGGAAAGAAGTAGCTTTCTTTAACCCCACAGATTAAATGCTCGGCTCAAGCTGCTGTTTGGAGACATTTTTGTCACAACTTTACTCTCATATTATTATGACTTTGCTCTCTTAATATTATGACTTTATTTTCAGTCTTATGACTTTAGTGTTGTAAATAAAGAAAATAATCTTAGTATGGTTTCTTCCTGTTAAAAGGGAGTTTTTCCTCTCCACTGTCGCTACAAGCATGCTTAGTGTGAGGGATTGCTGAAGAGTCAATGAGTCGATGCAATCAACTGGTTTTCCTTAGATAGAAAACATTGAATCAATCTGACTGGATGATCTGGTTGAACTGTAAAGTGCCTTGAGGTGACATGATGTGAATTGGCGCTATAGAAATAAACTGAATAGAATTGTGCTTTATTTTAAGCAGTCAATGGGTTCCTTGAAATGAGTTTAAGACATGATAGGATACAGATGAAAGAAGTGGTGGCAATAGCCAGGATGGTTCCAATGGGGATGGACTTCTGGGCATCCCTCAGGTCACCTGAGCGGTTCGAACCCGCCATGATGCCTAGAAGACACGGCGTAGAGATACGGTCTGACAGCTCCAACAGGTGAGAATGTGAAGTCTGGTTGTTATGCTTCTGCAGGTTAGTCTCACCTGTGACAGAAGGGAAGTAGATTCCAACCAACAGAGTGAAGAAGGTGGTGATGTCGTTGACCACGTAGGGAAGGTAAATGTCCTTGGCGGGGTCACTTCCACCAACAGAGGACAGCTTCTTGTCTTCCACCAACTTGCCAAGAGGGCCGTACTGCGACCACATGTTTTCTACAACCGCACCAACGACAAGGTATTAAAAAATTAGGACAGGAAGGAGGAAGGAGAAGAAAAAGCAACATGGAGGCAGAAGATGGAAACATTTCAATATTGCAGAGTAAAAGCCAACTGGTTTGATCTACTGACTGATTAACTGTAAAGATGCAGATAATGATCAGATAATGAAGGAATGTGGACAGAGTCATGAGTTATGAAGAATAATGTGATTCCTCATTAGTTCTGACATATTAGTGGAGCTTGAAGGAATAAAAGCCTATTTAGATGATTTTAACGCTAATTTCCTTTCTATGGGTCATTCCTCATGGTTGATGGAGCAGCTCCTACCAAACCAGTCCACCGAGGAGAGAACTCCTCGCATCCATCACTAGAAAACTTTCTATTGGACCAAGAAAATAAATCAGTTGCTAATTCTTTAACCCCTTATAGGGCAAGTTAGCGTTTTTGATCACTTGCATACCCCTTATAAATGAAGTCCCTCCGTCCCTCAGTGAGGTCTAGAAGGAAAAGATCTACATCCAGCCATTCAGCAAAGATCCTGCTACATGGCTGTTAGGGATGGAACGTTCGGTTTGACTGTCTCGGTTCGATTCGCGTGCGTTTCGTTCGGTTCATGCGCTGCTCCTTTTTCTCATAGGCGAAGCGTTTACACTCCAGAGCAGAAGGTGGCGGTACTGCGACCAAGACGCGCCAGCAGCACTTTATAGGTCTGCTGTATGGGACCACTTTGCATTTAGAGTGACCTACGATGACGGCGGAAAGAAAGTTGTGGATAAAAACAGTGTGCAAGCATTGTGCAACACATTTTGTTTATGCTAACAGCAACACGACCAACATGTCATGCTAACCCCGAAATCCCACATACTCCGTCAGCGCTCCAGACCGCCTGGCTCCCATCCGCTCCGCTCTGAGTTCCTTGGAGATCGTAGAGGGAAATGCGCGAGATGCTTAATTTCAAAGCAGCAAAACATGCGGAAATGATCCAGGGTTTCCGCGGATCATTAAAAATAATTACAATTCATTAATTTTCTTGGATTTTTTTCATTAATTTGTATGGGATTTCGGTGTAACAATCAACATATACCGAACCGAACCGAAAGCCGTGACCACGAAACCGTGAACCGAACCGTGGATTTTGTGAACCGCTCCACCCCTAATGGCTGTACATCTGATTTTGGCATTAGACCAATTAGATGAGAACTTGACTAAAATATTACCTACTATAAATTAAGTTGGAAAAAAAGTTAGGTCAAGAAAAAAAAAGTTAAAAAGTTAATTAAAAAGTAAAGTTAAAACATGAATAAGCCTAGTTAACAATTATATTTAGGTTAATAAACTAAAAAATGTCAGTATCAGCATTAATGCCTCTGAAGTTATGTTGTACCAAAAAATATTTATTTCACACTCAGAGTGTTTTTTTTTATAAATTTCTTATAGACGCACTTTTATTTTTCTTCATATATCTGGGCAAGTTGGCGTTTCTTGTTATTACACTGACATTAATTTTTGTCATCAAAATAATTTTTTTATGTTTCAAAGGTAATAAGGTCTATTCCTGGATTCCAAAAACACTATTGGCTTGAAATTTACATTTTCAAAGTATTTCACTGAGTGCCGTATAAAGGGTAAAGTCCTGCTTTATTAAACCTTGTATGAAACTGTTGTTAGATCACATAGATACCATGGAGGCACCCCCACCTTAATCTAGTATGTTTATCACTTTGCATAAAAAACAAGTTTTGCTATGTATAAGGTACTGGGTGAACAGCAGCACCTTCTATGCTGGAACAGCCTCCGGTTTGTGCAGACACTGCATCTCCTCTGAGCATTTATCACTTTAATGTAGTCTGAATTTTTAAGCATCTGAATGTGAGAAATTATCTGGCTGCTTTGCTGTGTTGAGTTACTAAATAAAACACTGAATTAGCAAAAAAAAAAAAAAAAATCTCAGACAGGAAAAGAGCAGGTTATGTAACCAGGATGAGAAGAAGGAGTTCATCTGGGATCGTCTGACACCTGCACATACTTGTCCCAGAAATATGCTGAGGGTTTACAGCCTGCGGCTCCGGCTGGGCACGGAGTTCGCTCCGTGTTTAGTTTGTCTTCTATGACGTTGGACATTCCTAAAGAGTCCCGACACATGTGTTTATACATGTTTCCTGTCATGTAACCCTGCATTACAACAGCTGCCACTAGAGGGGAGTGTTTTATTAGCTTTAAGTTCAGAAAGGTGTGGAGAGGAAATGTCTGCTGAGATGTAGAAGGACTCATTGACTCCTGCACTGTTAATGGCTAATATATATATATATATATAATATTCTACTATACATACATGGTGTATGTATAATACAAATGTTGGTTTATATGCATCTCTGGTAATAAAGGTACAAAAAAAAAGTTATTTTCTCTCATAAAGTTATTTAAAGTGTATTTTAAACAGGATCCAAAGCAAAGATGCACTTTGGGTACAGAAACTGCATTAGGTTAGATATCTAAATAACACATAGAGGCTTATTATTATCTCCTACAACTGATATCTAATAATTGACAACATATTAGGAATTTCTAAAAGTTTATTCTGATTTTGAGGCTTTTTAGCTTCACTAGGCAAAAAAGAAACGGAGATTAGGAAAGTTAGTAATTGAGTAAAATTGTAGAAAATGCAAAATATCAGAATCAGAATGAGAAATACTTTAATAATCCCAAAGGGAAATTACTTTTGTTACATGCTTCAAATAATTAGCATTTATTCATACAATTTATCAATTTAAAATTACAAAAATAGTGATGAATGAATAAATGATCATATAATTTCCCTACATAATTCAACATTTATTTCTACATTAATAAACGCTCCTAGGAATATACATTAAAGAGATCTTTACCATTGAAACTTATCTGTCAAAAACAGATGTTTCAGTCACATTTCTATCACTGATTAGTTATTGCACAGACTGGTTTAGCAGTTCATTGGAAAAAACAACAAAGTTACTGACGTCTAAGTCATTTTCTACATTTTAAACACTAAAAGTGAAAAACACAACCACATTTCTAATGCTGTTTTAGTGGTTTCTTGCACAGTGAGTCGACTTTCCAGCATTTAGATCAGTTTGATTATAAACAAAGGTAATGCTTGTTTAAAACATGTTTTGACTTAATTCATTTATCTTGTCTGAGCAATAAACAACACCAATAAAGTTGTTAAAATCCTAGGTTTGAAAATGATATCTTATTTCTTAGACGCCTAATGTCAGTAATTAGCTTCATATTTAAATTTATACTAATTAGAGCTGTAATGTTCAAATTATTAATGATTTAATTTGGCATCTGACAGAAAAAAACAACAACAAAAACATGCAAACCTGGCATTTAATTCAGGTATTAGGGGTTAAATAATTTAAATAACAAAAGATTATTATTTATTTAACCAATAACTTTTTTAGGCTTTGAGTTTAACGCCTGTTGGGTTTTTTTTTCACAATATTTAGGCAGAGAATAACTAAAAATCATTATAAGCCTGAGAAATCAGAAAACCAGTCTGAACACAATCATGAGCTTTTGAAAGACTGTTTTGGTTTTAGGGGAGTTGGGTTAATCGACATGCTTATGAGCCGTTGTAGGTACCAAATCTGCTCGGTGCCCCGCCTCTTCTTATGACGTCATCATATTACAACGTGACTCGGACAAACTGTATTGCACCCATTTCTTAAGGATCTAATTTTTTTTGGGAGTTTCAACTTATTAGTACCCATATTTACTATTATTTTACATTTCATTGGCGATCTAAAGTAGCCAAAAGTAGAAAACAATCAATGTCAGTCCTGAAGGAAAGCACTGCATTCTCAGACAGACTTAGCTCTGCCATTTAACAATGTGAAACAAAAACTTTATTTTTATTCTTTTTATCAAGATCTGAGGGCAGAGGAGGACAAATGGAACATCTTAAAAATGACTTTCGTAGAGATTTTAGACGAAGAAAACAACAGTTATTCTACTTGTAGAAAACAAACGCTTCTTGTTGATACAAATTCAAAAGTAGTGTAGCTTAAAAGACGCTAACCTGTTAGTGTAACCTGAGCACAGCTAGCTACAGCGCTACCCAGACCTCTTCCTTTATATCACGGTCTTGCAGTTACTTTGTTCACCAGTTTTGTTATCGATGAGATAAAACTTCATCTGTCATAGAACACGCTAACGACGCTGCGTGAAGTTATTATCGTTGTCTGGGCAACCACTATGTTTTACATCATGTGTTAACGTGCAGCCAATGTAGCGTAACTTAACTGGCATGCTCAACCTGAGCAGATCTGGTACCTAGACCGTCACTGTCTTATCTGCAGACCCACCTGAGATGACCCCGCTGGTCAGGCCAGGGATGCCTTGAACGAGTGTCAGATTGTTGTTTTCAAAGTACTCGTTGCAGGTGGCGTTGAGCTCAGGTCCTTCACAGAAGATACTCCACAGCTTGGTGGTGACCGTCAGGTTATCTATGATCTCCGTCTTCACACAGTTGTCGAAGTCGTTGTTTTTTAGTGTCCTGTTCCCCAACATGCAGACTCTGCGAGCACAAAGAGAGAAGTTGCCCTTAATGAATCAGATCGGCAGATTAAAACATGTGGAGGAGACTCTTAAAAAAAAAGAAAACGGGGCTCACGGAAAATCTGGCGGCTCAAAAATGGATTTTATGACTCCAGCGTAGATGGCGAGGATAGAGAGAATGACACAAGCCAGGAAGACCAGTGCCAGTTTGTTGACGTATTTGACTCCAACAAAGACAACTATAGACATGAGTATAAGGCAGCATGTGCCATAGACACGCATGTTGTTGAGCAGGGCATCAACTTCGTCCTCCTTTTGCTCTGCTATGAAGATGGCTGCTTGAGGCACAATGTAGGTCTGAGAAAAGGACAAAAAAGAATACAAAGACTTGAGAAAAGAGTAGAAGACAGCCTGGTTCCTCTTTGGTTAGATTTATATGCATACTCAGAGGAAAACAATGGAAAACCGCACAGTTGGCAGAATCCTAAATGAGGAACCAGTGCAAAAGACCGAATACAGGAACAAACAGGCTCCTATTTCTTACCAGCAGAATCTCAATAGTACCCAAGATGTACATGGAGCCTGCGAAGGTTGTTCCCAGGTAGAAACAGAGACCGACTGCTCCTCCAAACTCTGGACCCAGAGACCTGGAGATCATGTAGTAGGAGCCTCCAGCTGGAGAACAACAACAACAACAGTCAGAGGAAAGACAAAGAAAGCTGTTTGAAAGGAGACAACATGTTTGTTCATGTTTGTGGCTCAGTTAGTAGAGAGTAGCAGATTTTTAGCAGAGAACAGGAAGGCTGAACAGACAATAAAGGCTTTAAGATCAGTCCTGGAACAAAAAACGGTTTGGAAACTCCGGGAACTGGGGCAGCTAATCATTTAATTGATTATTTAAATAATTGTCAACTAATTTAGTATCGATTAATCATTAACTGGAGTGTAGAGACTCTAAAATATGCCTGAAAGAGAAATACACTCAGAGCAGTAATTAGACCTTATACAAAGATTCTAAAAAAATATATATCGTAATTTTCAGAGTATAAGCCGCGACTTTTCCCCCATTTTTCGACCTTGCGGCTTATATAACAATGCGGGTTATCTATGGACTTTTACAGCTAACAGCCACTAGGGTAATACGGTACCTAAATCTATGGATTTTTACCATGCACCATGTTTACGTCTCCGAGAAAGACGGACATTGCGAGCGCAAGACAGTTTGTGTAACACCCTCATTATGGTAAAAAAAAATGTTGAAATGCATATGATGCAGCTTTTAAGTTAAAGGTAGTCAATTTCGCAGTAAACAAAGGAAATAGAACCGCTGCACGTAACCTTGGAATCAACGAGTCAATGGTGAGACGTTGGAGATGCCAGCAGGAAGAGTTGTCTCAATTCAATTGTGTTGAAATGTTAATAAATAGGAGCTTCCCCAAACAGTTTAACCTGACTCCGCCAGATGGATTTGCTCTGCATATCCATCTGGAAATCTTCCGTTGAAGTAATTTTGGGAAGGGGCGAAAATACTGGTTAGCTGATTGGCCTATGTTGGTGATAGACGGGCCAAATAAACCAATCAGATCAACGAAGCATATGACGTACTAACAGAGCGACGACGAAAACACAACCACAAGCCAGCCTACTCTTGCCGAAACCAGTCGGGAGAAGAGCAAAAACATCTTTTCCTCTGAGAAAAGCCTCCAGAGCAGTGTTTTGCTCTTCTTTCAGTGAAGAAATACTCTGTAATTCCGATAAAACTTGCTCGATAGCCACGCTAACGCTAGTTTCATTGGCTGAAGCCGCCATGTTCTTTAGACTGAACTGTCGCGCTTCTCGTTGCGTCACACCTCAACCCGCCTCAAAGCCAACGCTGATTGGTCGTTCGTTTGGTGAACGGCTCCAAATTTTCTTTAACGGAGAGTCTCCAGACTGATCTGTAAGTGAAACCTTGAAAGCTCGCGAGATCAGGATGGTCTCACGAGGCTACAAACAGTTGCCTCTTTCCCGACAATCCTCTCTGTACACGAACCATATGGTAATTAAACATAAAAAACCTGCGGCTTATAGTCCGGTGCGTCTTGTATATGTACAAATCATGCAATTTAGCTTCTGAGGCTTATATTCAGGTGTGGCTTATATTCCGAAAATTACGGTAAATATTTTGCATTCAATATAAAAAAAAAGTGCCCTATAAAAAAATATGCTCTATCCAGAACCCCTCAAGTGGAAAAGTTTGAATTTCACCTGGTTTGATTCAGTAAAAAGTCTTCTTTAGGCAATATGGCTATTCAATTCTTAATATAAAAATTATTAATCAATTTGCAAAATAATCGTTAGTTTTAGCCCAACTTAGACTCTTCTGGGAATTTCTACCCTAAAGGATTAACATTATCTAGGGATGAAGTGCTGTCTCAGTAATGCTAACAGTGCTAAATCTGAAGGCTAAAGACTTTTTTTTTGTCCTTATTTCCAACAGTACCGCCATACTTTCTCACATGGATTCTCCCACTGACTGCTCACAGCTGGAGGTCTAAAAATATTTAACTGGACGGAGCCAAACTTGGCTAAGTTGGTGAATCTCTGATCTGTGCATTTAACAGACGTCTCGTCATCTCATATAACTTGAGTTTAAAATGGGAAACCATTTTAAAGCAGGACTCCTCCATCAAGCTTCATAATAACAGCAGCATATGATGCAATAAAACAAACATCTTACCTGGTACAACGCCATTAGTAGCAATTGCACTCATGGATATCGCTGTCAGCATCGTCTAAAAGAAATCAAAGAACAGTTAAAAAGATTTATGATCAAATTGAAGCTAAGCTGGGTTATCAGATCACCTCTGTTTAACAAAAAGAAAGACCTTCATGGCCTCTTTTCTATTTGTTTTAGTGAATTTCCCTGCTTTAGTTTTAACCAATGGGACTGCTGGTGGCATTTAATCTTATGGATTTGTTATGGATACGAGCTTTCCGTTGAAATCAGTAATTGTGGTTGAGGATCTACATCAGCTGATTACATAATGGAACGTTCCGGATGAGAGGAAGGTCAGTGCAGAGGAGAAGAGGAAATTAAGACAACAGGATGGAAAACAAAAATCACATAAAGGTGTAAACTTGAGTGAAAGAAAGCAGGAAGGAGAAGAGACGAGGCGAGACGAAGAAACTTCACGTCCTTGTGCTTGATGTCTGGTTTAAAGTGACAGACAAGCTGGACTAAGACCAATCAGCTCACAGTTTCCAGTGAAATCCTAAGCAGCTATTCAGCAGCTTGGGTTTGATCAGAGCGACAGAGACAAGGCGACTTCACACCTCAAACACATTTGTTTGTTACTTGGATGTTTGGCTTTTAAAATCGATTTAAAAGCTCAAGTTTTAGAACAACAAATGAATTTACTGGTTTTGTTTTTACAAGTTAATTAAGGTATTCAGCTATTTGTTTAGCTCTTTTTACAAATAAAAAAGGGTAGAAAACAAGAAAAAGCTGACTTAAAAACTGACTGAGTATATGAGGAAATAACTTTTATTTATTGAGGGATCATTTGTTGATCAACAAATTGTGGAAAAACCAATGAATATGAGATTATAGTGGTAAAGAAATGCTTGGATGGATATTTGGTAGGATATCACATTTCTATTTCTTTATTCTGTGGTCGTGCTAAAAACGAAAGTCACGTATGTAACTATGGTTCTATGAATCCTAAATGACTTCCACAGGGGAGTGCTGAAAGCACTGAATGTTCCCTTCAGGCATGCACAGGTCGAGTAATTATACCAACAGAGTCACACCTGTGATGCCAGATGACCACTCAGAAGATACATAGCCTGGTGTCATCCTTTGCTCTGTTCCTGAAGAATTTTCTTGCAAAAGCAAGGATTCTGAAAGACAGAGAAACTCTGGCGGTGATCCGGAATTCATAGAACCATAGTTGCATACCTAACTTTCATTCTATTTCATCCCTACTTACTGCCACAGGGCGGTGCCAAAAGCACAGAATGACTAATGTCAGCGATGTCACAAGGAATCCTGAACATGTACCTCACTGAGGAGGCCCAGCAGAACCTTGTAAAAGGACCTGACCCTGTGGATGAGGGGCAGCCACATTGACATTGTAGAACCTCGTGAAGGTGGTCGGGGAATCCCATTTAGCAGCAGCACATAACCCTTTCCAGTGGGACCCCTCTCAAAGCCGCCCAGGAAGCAGAGATGCACCTGGTGGAATGTGTCCTCACACTAACTGACAGGGAGCAGTGACCTGATGACACAATCCAATGGGAAAGATGCTGCTTTGAAAGACAACAGCCTAACCGTGGACCCCCATAACATAGGAAAAGCTGAGTCCGAGCGTCTTAGATTGACAGTGGTTGCAATGTATGCCTCCAAGGCTCTTACTGGGCACAATAACACAGACCCATCCTCAGTTGCATCTGACTGAGGCTAAAACCAAGCAAGCCACAATAGCTGGTTATGGTGAAATGGAGACAACAGCTCAGGTACAAATGTAGTATTAGGCAACAGGGCAACAGCGGAGCCATCTGGAGCCCACCTGCTACTGGTAGGGCTGACAGAGAGACCATGTAGCTCTTAGCTGAGATGACAGCCATCAGGAAAGCAGTCTTGGAGGAAAGCGACTTGAGATCTGCTTGAGCCAAAGGCTCAAATGGCGGGTGGCACAGAGCCGCGAAAACCAACAGCAGATCCCAATCAGGCACTCGTGGAGTTGCCTGTGGGTGCAACCTACAAGTACTGTGCAGAAAAAGAGAAACCAGTTCATGGCGCTCCACTCTACGGTCATCGACAGATAGGTGACGTCATGAGATTGCTGCAGCATACACCTTAAGGGTCGAAGGAAAGCCACTTGAGATCCGCTTGAGCCAAAAGCTCAAATGGCGGGTGGCACATAGCCGCGAGAACCAATGGCAGATCCCAATCAGGCACTCGTGGAGTTGCCTGTGGGCGGAACCTACGAGCACAGTGCAGAAAAACAGAAACCAGTTCATGGCACCCTACTGTACGGTCGTCGACAGATAGGTGACAGCAGGTCGAAGGAAAGTGGCCCTTATCAAGAAGAGACAGAAGGAACTCAAGAATAGTGGGCACCGAGCAGGAAACCGGGTTCTCATCACGGGCAGAGCACTGAACTGAGCTACCAGCAACACTCTGTGGCCTTGCTCGATAACCCTCCATAGGGTAGGCCAAATCAGCGAGAGGGGTTGAAAGGCATATAGGAAAATCTGTGGCAAAGGATGAGCCAGCATGTCCTGGCCAAGTGTGCCCACCACCCCGGTCAGGGAATACCATAGGCAATGGGTTGACCCCTTTGTGGTGATCCATCTCTGCCTGCCCAAAGAGGTTCCAGATCATGCGCACTACGTCGCAATAAAGGGACCACTCTCCCGGAGCAGGTCTATGGCGGGATAGAGTCTGCAACCTGGTTCTGCCCTCCTGTCACATACGCTGCACACAGGGTGGAAAGACGGGGAAAAGCCAATTCCAGGAGATCTCTGGAAACCTTCAGGAGACGTGCCGACCTGGTGCCTCCTTGGTGTTTTGTATTGTAAACAACAGAGGTGTTGTCCTTCCGAATCAACACTTGCCTTCCCTCTAGGTGGGGCAGAAGACGCCTGAGGGCTATGTGAACAGCCCACAGCTCCAGCACGTTTATGTGTTTGGTGCACTCCCTTGGATCCCAAAGACCCCAAACCGCTCTGTGTTGCCACACGGTGGACCAGCGAATGGGGCTGGCATCAGTGGTGACCAATTCCCTTCAACACACTACTAATCCCATTGGAACACCACTGGACAAAAGGATCTCCAGCTCGGGCAGGAGGGTACATCCTCATCACTAAGAGGCTGCGATGTCAGTGCAGCCTGGTGTCTAGGCGAAAGCTGTTGAGCCACTGCTGCAAAGAACGTAGAAGGAGCAAACCTAAGGGCATGATACGAGTGACTGATGTCAGTTTGCCCAGCATTCGCAGGGAGATGTTATAAGCTATCTGCCTGCCCAGCCTGAATTGACTGACAAGCTGCAATGTGTCGTTCACCCTGTGAACAGATGGACAGGCCCTCATGGTTGTGGAGTCTAGATGCATCCCAAGAAGCGTGGTTGACTGAGATAGAACTGGACAAATCTTTGCCAAATTGACTTTGAGGCCCAACCGTGACACCCTGAAAAGAAGCCGGGACGTATCCTGAGAGGCAGTTACCTAAGAGGGAGCGCAAAGGAGAGGGCCGCTTGAATGCATCGAGTAAACACCCTCAGGGAAAGGGAGAGCCCGGGTGGGAGCACCAATCCCTTCTGCTAACTCCACTTCAATAGCAACACACTATGATTAGCTATAGTTAGCTTATGTTGTAACGTCTGTTCTCCCTTTCTATGTGTGAACTTTATGTCACCCTCATTTTGTTTGAAATGTGTTCTATACATAAAAACAGAACAAATAAACAAAAAGAGAAAGAATAGGGAGTAAAACCAACTATGAGGTTTTTCTGTGACAACATAAACACAGACCTGCAGCAACACAAGTCTATGTTTTGATAAGCCGTTCCACTGATGGGCTTAACATAAAACAATGTTTATTCGGCTAAAATAACATGTTAATCTTTGGTAGAAATGCAGCCTTAATATTAAAGTGGACAGCATCTACGTGGGAGTAAAAGAAAACCAGAATCTGAAGATGTTGAATGTGGTGATGAAGCCCTTGGTGTGTTTTTCAGTGACGCTGCCTCTGCCTCTTTAAGCAGGCCGCTGATGAAGCCATTAGTGTGAAGTCAGATGTTCTCAAAGCAGTGAAATTGAACGTTAATCTGCTGGACTAAGCTCAGCTCTGTTACGTAACCGAAGGGATGGACAGTACGGTTAACCCTGCTAACGCAATCTAGATGGATTTAGGAAGAGAGCGGGAGTCCATCCACATTAGACATCCAGGAAAAATCTGCAGCACTAAGGTGAAGTCCTGGAAATGATCAGTCTGTTCAGAAATAATCAATTATTGCTTCTTGATTAGGAATGATGTTTAATCAAGGCCACTCTCAGGAATACCAGGAGAGAAATTTCATTACCAGCCAAAATGATGTCACTGAGATTAAAGTTATTGTTTCAGGTTTGTACTTTCCATGATTAATCTGGAATAATCCACCGTCTGCAATGAGAGAGCCAAATATAGGGCCTGAGTGGGTGTTTGTTTCTAACACGTCCAGGGCGGACAGATCAGACGTCAAGGTGGTAAAACCAGGAGAAATAACAAGTCCTGTTTGTGTCTGAATGAACTGAGGAGTCATTTTTCTCAGAGATTTCTTCCCTGATCGTCACAAATAAGAAGAGCCAGTCGCTGGCTGGGATTAAAAACCTACGCATGCGCAGCACAGGCCCACGATCCCCAAAGACTCCAGGATGCCGGCCGTGCCGACAATCCAGGTAAGGCGCAGGAACAGGATGACCCCCAGAATGTTCTGAAGGCAAGGGAGGTAGACGCCCATGAAGGTTCCCATCTGAGGGCTCTGTGGACAGGAAGGAGAGAGCTAGTTAGATGGAAATGATACAGAATGAAGAAAACCAACTAAAAGATTCAGTAAAGAAAAACAAACATATTTTTTATCCATTTAGAAAATAGAAACACACAAATAAAAGTGCGCGTTTACTGGAACAAATGATTGACTTCAGTGATGTAATAATTCTACCTTCAGCTTATAGAAAACTAACATTCAGTTTCTTAGAATATTCCAATATCCATAAACTCCAATCAAACAGGATCTTTATAAATGAAGGGGGCTCCTTACTCAGGTTTCCTACAGCATAAGGCAAGTTAAATTCAAGACTTTTTAAGACTTTTTAATGCCACTTGAAATGAAAATTTAAGACCAAATTCACAAGAAACAGAAGAAAAACCTGCTTGCAACAACTTAACCCAAAGGTTTATTTTAACATAAACCACTGCACTAATGTTTCAAATTTTGAAAAGCTTCCCATACAGGAAGAAAGCTAAAAACACACAAATGACAGATATATTTTAACAATTATTTAACTGAATTCACAAACTTTGTTTTAGCAGGGAACAAAACAAATCAGTTTTAAAGCCACAACATAACCAGTACTAAGTCTTTTGTGCAGCTATGTTTTTTGTATTGTTTTCTTAGTATGTTTGATTTGGTGATAAGTGGAGGCGTTGCAGAGACAAGGGTGGAACTAAACTGAGAAATACCGGCTGTTTCTCGGGAACTCCATTTTGACGATTTTGTGTTTCGTGCTTCGCATGTGCGACGCCACTGCCTTAATTCCGATCGTTCCGAGTTTGAATGACTTCTTGCACAAAATACACTGTGCCTCATGTATGTTCCCTGGTACTGGTTTTATAGCCTCGTGAGACCATCCTGATCTCGCGAGCTTTCAAGGTTTCACTCGCAAATCAGTCTAGAGACTCTCCGTTGAAGAAAATTTGGAGCTGTTCACCAAACGAACGTCCAATCAGCGTTGGCTTTGAGGCGGGTTGAGGTGTGACGCAACGAGAAGCGCGACAGTTCAGTCTAAAGAACATGGCGGCTTCAGCCGATGAAACTAGCGTTAGCGTGGCTATCGAGCAAGTTTTATCAGAATTACGGAGTATTTCTTCACTGAAGGAAGAGCAAAACACTGCTCTGGAGGCTTTTCTCAGAGGAAAAGATGTTTTTGCTCTTCTCCCGACTGGTTTCGGCAAGAGTAGCCTGGCTTGTGGTTGTGTTTTCGTCGTCGCTCTGTTAGTACGTCATATGCTTCGTTGATCTGATTGGTTTATTTGGCCCGTCTATCACCAACATAGGCCAATCAGCTAACCAGTATTTTCGCCCATTCCCAAAATTACTTCAACGGAAGGTTTCCAGATGGATATGCGGAGCAAATCCATCTGGCGGAGTCAGGTTACTGGTTTTAGCCATGGAGAAAACTCTTGGCTGGAGACAATTTTGGTTACATTTACACTTGCTCATATTTTCCAGACAAAAAGTTAATGGCGCATCTCCCAAATTTCCCGGTATCAACAACGTTTTATTGGTTCCGCTATCGGGACGGAACCAATAATGGCGAGACATTTTTTTTAATAAAAAAAAGAAATTGTCAATTTTTACGTTTTCTTTTGATTACAAAAATAAATTGTAATTAAAAATAATCCTATTTATGATGTTTTGAAAATTTAAACCTACGAAAGACTGATTTAAGACATTTTAATACCAATTAAGGCCTTCATTTTATTTTGAAATAATAAATATTATTTAGGAAATATGGCTATCCAATTATTAATACAATATGATAGGAAAAAATATAGCACCTTCTAGAAGCTTGAAGTCCTTTAAACTTTTCTTTGTGACTTTTGGATCTGATTAAACACAACAGACTAACTTTTTCTAATTCCTCCTTATTTCAGTTGAAAGGACTGAGCAGCTCTTCTATTTGTTACCTCATTAGCCTGGAGGAGGTTTTATAGTGACTCTACAATGGTAGATACCAGTGAGTGGTCCCTCTTTCAGGTCTGGTATTTCATATATAGAGACGTGTTTAGGAGCAAACTAATGCGAAAGATCGGATGTACAAAAATATGAACTTTTCTGTCTATTGGCATTGCTTCAACCAATCAGAGTCTGGATGTGTTTGTGATTTAGGAGCTTTTTAAATCAAAATAAATGGAGAAATGAATTCTGACCATAATGAGGTGAGGGATGCTCTCTGTTTGTAGGTTTCTTTTAAAAATAATGTTTTAATTTAGCCCATTAACACATTCATGGGGGCTGCAGAGTGAGCAGTGGGTAGCGCTGCAGCAGGACGGTTCCGGGTTAAATTCCCTGGCCTGGGGTCTTTCTACATGGAGTTTGCATGTTCTCCCTGAGCATGCGTGGGTTCTCTCCGGGTACTCCGGCTTCCTCCCACAGTCCAAAAACATGACTGTTAGGTTAGTTGTCTTCTCTAAAATTCTCGTGATGGACTGGAGACCTGTACAGGGTGAACCCCGCCTCTCGCCCATTAATAGCTGGAGATAGGCAGCAGCACCCCTCGCCCCCCCAGCAGGCATAAAGCATAAAAGTTTAATAGGAATGTTACTCTACTTTAAGTTAATTTAAGTGCAATTACAGGGAGCAGGGAGAGGGGGTATGAAAAACAAGTTTTACTTCTTCATACCCCTTTTCAGACAATTTCTTTTAATCAATGTCATTTCTGTGGCTGTTTATACTGACAGGTTTATTTGGTGGAGGGTTTTATTTCTATTTATGTTCATGTGAATTTAGTTAGTTTGGAAATTGGTGTTTTGTTGATGTTAACCAGACTGTTTTGTTTGTATTTAGTTGATTCATTTATTGTTTGTCAAAATCGTCTGAAATAAATTTAATTTTAAGTCAGCTCGTTTTTAAGTTTACATCAACTGTGAGCAAAAACCTGCCCCCAAATAGTATAAGCAATGTTTTAAATATAAAACCTCCATATTTCTGGATGACAATCGGATTAAAAAAACCTTACTCTGTGGAATGTTATTTATATGGATGTTTATCAGCTCAATGAGCAAATTTTCAATATAACACCAGATGTTTAAAGTAGAAGATATTGATCCACTGCAGAAACTGTTAAAAAATAAATAAAAATTTCTTCAAATCTATGTATTTGTTCTTAATATGAGCAGGTAAATCAGTTAATCTGATGGTGGAAGGAGTCTGTCTGCCTTTAAAATAAGATAAATAGGAATTATACACTTAAAATAAGATAACAGTTTATTTTCTTTTCTTAACCATGAATAATCTGACTCCATTGACAAACCTTTTTACTCAAGAAAGAAAAGAAACTAACTTATTTGAAGAAAACTGACTACTCAGTTTTAGTTTTTTGCAGAGTTGACAGATGTTTAGTATGAATTTGTAATCCAAATATAAATCAGACTTACATGAAGGTGACAAAAGAAGCATTTACATCTAAATCTTCAGCTTCCAGTAAAAAAACAATACCTCCAAAAATCCTTCACTTAAAAAACAATCGACAGTCCTTTAGAGTCCGTCAAACAGAAAGAAGAAAGGTAAATCAGATTCCACCTTGAGTGAACTAACTGCTCTGATATGAGCCTCCAGCTCTCCAGACAAAGAGGGGCCACAGCAGAGTCAGCCTCATCTGTTCACCCACTGCTTTCTGGGAGGCAGTGGGAGGCGCCCGCAGCAGTGGATGGGACGGGGCACTAGCATGGGACCGGGGCTGTGGTTAGAAAAGTATCTGTGTGCTTTGAGGCAAAACTGTCAAAATAGTTTGGATCCAAAAAAAGGTCCAGAGATGGAGGGGCAAACTTAATGCAGAAACCTAAATGTGGCCGGTGCTCCTTCTGACCAGCGATAATGAGAACTATTAATGCTGTTATATAAGAACAGAGGGGGGGACCGGAGGAAGGTCTGAGGTGAAAAACGGGTCAAAGACGCCGTTAAATAACGACTTTTTTACAAGAGCGGTGGTTCCTGTGCTTCCGTACGCCATGACAGGTAAAAACACAGACGGAGGTCAGCGGCTGTTACCTTAACGGATTTCTTCTTGGCGCCCTCCTCTTCATCAGCTTCCTCGTGCTCATGGGCTCCTTGGGTGAGGTTAGTGTAGTTGGCCAGTTTATTGAGAAGTGATGACACCATGGGGTGGCTGTCCATCTCCTCCTGTGAAGCATCAGATCAGGATCAGATTAAACCAGGGCCGGCCCAAAGAACCAGAGAACTCAGGGATCGCTTAGGGCTCCAGGGTCACCAGGGGGGCCCCAAACAACAACTGACAGTTTGGGAATTCTACTTGTACAATGATTTCTATAAAAACGCAGTTTCATGATGAAATCTGGATATTTCTTTTTTTTTTTTTTTTTTTATCAAAGTATCTTTAATCTTGTAGAAAATATAAAATAGTCTTGGAGGTGGATTGACACCGATAATCAATTATGTCTCTTTCTTTTAACAGCTTTATTCATTATTTTGCTCTTGTGCTACAGTTTATTTTTTCACATTATTGTTGAAAATAATTAATGAAAATAAACTGCATCCTAATTTATTCTATGACTTTCAGTAGCACTAGATGATGCTTAGCAACAGACCTGTCAGAGATCAAATGAGTTTATTGTAGGAGTGTCAATTATCTGATCAACTTATCAGTAGACGGCTGATTGTATGGAGTGAATTTTGTTTCAATATTGAAACAAAAAAGGAATACATTTTCTAAATGGGAAAAAATAAAAACAAAATCCAAGAATGAAACTTTGAAACCCCGCTAAATCAAAACAATAAAAGGTATTGAGCGTAACTTTGCTGCTTTCTCTGATGTGTTTTTTGTTCATTTTTTGTTCTTTTCCAAATAAAATTCAAATTTTAAATGTTATATTTTAATTTTTTTACAGATTGAGTTTTAGAAATGCTTTTTAAAATGTGTTTTTCAGATCACATTCTATTCAGTTCTATAGTAAGGACTGAAGATGCATTTCTATTGATCTGGATGGATGTTAAAAAAAACATTTTTATTGGTCAAGAGTGAGATTTTGTATCGGGCTTGAAGTTTCCATTAACAAAGTCACGTTCTTTGCAACAATAAAGGAATACATTTCATGCCATAGATTTTTGGCTATGGCTTTTATAGAAAGAAAAAAAAAAGCCCTAAAATCAAACTTTGCTTAGGACCGGCCCTGGATGATAAACCTGAGGCCCTTTTCTACCAGAGGTTCATTTTCAGCCACAAACAGAATCCAGTTTTAGAAATCGATCCATGTGGTCACAGCAAGTCCACATTTTATTACTGGAACTTGTACTGGATGCATGTTTTGTGTTTTTAATCTGTCTTTAAATGCAGAGTGACGGTAATGAATTTTGCCAGAACAGAAAATTATTGTTATAATATTTAGTCCTAAAATAGCAGCTGGATGAGGTTCAGACGGGTCCAGACCAGAGAGCTGGCTCTGTGCAGAGACCGCAGAGCAGACAGGCTGCCACATGGAACATCACAACAGACTGGCTCCATGCTAATCCCAACCTACACGTCGTTAACCAAACCAGTTCTATTTTTATTTCCATGTTTTCCAACGTTTTAATCCATCACTCACTCTGTAGCTTCAAAACTACTGAATACTTTGAGCTTAGGGGGAAAAAGCTTTTTAGCTAAAGGTTGAGGCTTAAATACTTTACCACATTTTGATGTCCAAACACAATGGCTGTTTCTCAATTCAGAGGAACGCGAGTACGGACTCGTGTCCTCGCCAACTATGTTCTGGAGAAGAACACAGGAAAGTCTGGACTCTGGGAGAACAGGAGCACGCCAAATAAATCTGGGTCAATCGGAACGAAAGCGTACTGATGAAATCATCACACGCTCGGCTTGTCTGGAGCTGCATTTCACCTCCTGTTATTAATGGTCTCTAGATAATAATAAATGATGACTTTTTTCATTTAGTGGGGGAATAATAATTAATACAGTCAGATAAACACAAATCAAATGGAACTGTTTTCAAATAAAACAAAATAATCTCCATCAGAGCCACACACGGCTATGAAGAGAGAGGGCTGCTGCAGACGGGTCGCGGTTAGCCCTCGCTGCCGTTAGCCTCAGAGGTCCGCAGGTTGCCGCGGTCCTCTCAACATTCTAACTCTTTTTAAATTAGGCATTAAATCAGTGAATGGTCCATATAGTCATCAAACGATCTTAAAACGTACTTTTATTGAACGACGGCAACAGAACAAAGAACTTTTAACTTAATACTCTGAGCTCTGAGAGTGCAGTGCATGCTGGGACAGCTGTCTCTGATGCATGCTGGGTAAAGAGTGAGGACAACATCCGCTGCTGTTCTTTTGAATTGGAACAGCACTAGGGGTGATGCTGACGACGTTTCGAGCACACGAGAACGCACAAGTACACGGTATTCCAGACGGGTGATGCTGATCAGTGACAGCTAACCATTACCTCAAAAAGCGCCATGTTGGTGCCGTCGTAACTGTTGTTCTTGTCATGTTCCGTGTTGTTGATGAATGGACTGTTTTCCTTTGGGACGCCATCACCTGTTGGAAGAAAACAGAGATCCCAGTAAATAACTTTCATGTTTAAAACCACTAAAACCTGAAACTTAACTGGATCTTTGCTGAAGATGGGCTGCATGGTGGAGGCAGACTGATACTGCGGTTGTTGTTGTTTTTTATGTGTTTTTCAGATTAATTATTGCTTTCAGCAGCCATGGCCTGAGATCACATCAGACGCATGCATTGCTGCTCCCTCTGGTGTTAGTGTTTGATTTGTTTGTTTTTTTAGAAACATTTATATATAATGGTTACATTTTTATCATGTGAATGCAGTCAGAAGAAGCAGCATTGAACATCACTATGACATTGATTGATCAAAATATTGATGACTTTATTGAATTCTGTTACATAGTAAAATAATTGGCTAACTAAAATATCAATACTTTGAAAGTTATTTAGCGATTTAATGAGATATTAGTTTATTTTAGTTCTATTTGCTTTACTGCAGCTTAATTTTCATTAATCCAATGTTGAAACAAAAACATTGAAGTTACGAGGTTTTTTACCAAGATAACATTGGAACTCATAAGGGTTAGAATTAGGGGTGAGTATTTGCATTGGTGTTGGGATACATTATAGCCCCATTTACACTACCCTTGAAAAACCGATCCATGCCGAGACCGGTCCGAGCTCGGATCAGTTAACCAGGCCGAGCTTGGTTCTGACGACCGTTTACACATCTATCTCGGTTCCTCGACTCCTCGCCTCCTAGTGACGACCTGCGGTATTACTGCCAGTATTGAAGGAGGAAATCAAGCAGTTGGTGGCTGTAATGCACCAAAAGTTGTTTGCCAACCGCCATAAAACACAAGAAGAAGAAGACGAAGAAGGAGGGAATCAAGCAGTTGGTGGCGGTAATGCACCAAAAGTTGTTTGCCAACCGCCATAAAACACAAGAAGAAGAAGACGAAGAAGGAGGGAATCAAACAGTTGGTGGCGGTAATGCACCAAAAGTTGTTTGCCAACCGCCATAAAACACAAGAAGAAGAAGAAGACGAAGAAGGAGGGAATCAAGCAAATCAAAATGGCGGCGCCCGTCACGTTCAGAAAGTTATGCTTGATTATTATTGCTGTACTTCGGTGTTATTGTTTAAAATGCCATTATTTAAAATGTTGCGTGGAGAAGATTTCGATTGTTGTTCATAGTTGAAGAAGAAGTTGTTCTTCTTCTTCTGTTTCTGGAGGGGCATTACCGCCAACTACTGGAATGGAGTGTGAATCGCGATGTGAAGCCAGACGGAGATGACGCGTTCTGCTCATGTGCTCTTGTTATCAGAGAACCGAGCCAGGGAAAAACCGAGCCAAGCCCACCTCTGGAACCGGTCTGCAGTTATCTCGGTCCGGTTGTGTCTAGCTCGGTTCAGTTCAGTTTGCTTTCCATTTACACACAATAAGTTATCTCAGTTACTGAGCTCGGACCGGTCTCGGCACGGTTTTTCAAGGGTAGTGTAAATGGGGCTTATGTGTAACAATAAAATATTATCACAATATCACAGTATCACTATATATTGCGATATTTTCCCCAGCAACCAAAATTAAATGTATAGATAAAAAAGCTGCAGTAAATGTTCATAAGAAGATATTATTTTAGAATCTATGTTGTTTGGGGTTTGAGTCAGTCTTTCACTGTGACTGTCTATTTTCCGTCATTGATTAAGGTAAAAATGTGTTATTTTTTTTAATCGATACTAGGAATTGAAGGATTGATATTATATCGGGCAGCTGAAAATCATGATCTATCACCAAATCGACTTTTCCCCACAACCCTAATTAGAGTTATGTCGGATTCATCTGTATTGGCCTTATAACAATGTTTATTGGTCAATCTCTCGTTCTTAGATATAAAAAGTCTTTGAATTTTAGGTTGATTCTAAAAGAAAAAAAAAGTAAGCTAGGTTTTCAGAGTACACTGCAGTGGAATGAAGGCAACACAAATAAATAAAGACCATTAAAATCTACAATAAAATAAGATGATTAGAGATACACATAAAATAAAATGATTGATTAAGAAAACGTGAATAGAAAAATCAGTTGATTACAGGTTGGCGGATGTAGGGAAAAATAGGCATCAATAAAACCAATAAAATAAAAGACTCCAAAGCTCCCTAAAGGCCATTTACATTCGGACGGAAATATTGGGCTATATTTAATTTTCAATGAAAGCTTAATTAGTTATGATATGCCAAAAAAGAACTCAATAAAAAGCCAGAGGAATATATTTAACGGGTGAAAACTATAAATTCATAATAATTCATAGTAGTAGGTACATGAACAACTAAGTCGTAATAAAACAGAACAATCCTGTTTGCTTTAGCCAGGCTGACACAGCTTTTATGACAGATGAGTAGACCAGTCAGATGGACATCAGTAGATTCTTCAAATAACTGAAACAGCTGGATTGTTATTCCTGAGAACATCTAGAACAAAAGGAAACTCAGACTGTGGCTAATAATGTCTACGTTTAAGGCAAGGCTTAAATCTTTCCTTTTTGATAAAGCTTCTAGTTAGAGTGGCTCAGGTTATCCTGAGCTATCTCTATAGTTCTGCTGCTATAGGCTTAGACTGCTGGAGGACATAGGGACCCCCATTTCATCATTCTGCTTCATTCTATCTCTATTCTCCCACTCTGCAGAATCTGTTAGTTCAATCTCTAACGTTCTGCTCTCTCTGCTTTTTCTCATAGTAGCTTCATCTGGTCTGTTCCTGTTTGGCTGTGACTCCATCCTGGAGAGAAATATCAGCTGTGCTGCTGCCATCAATACCTTTATTTCTAGATGTTGGAGCCAAGCCTATTTTTCCTTGTAGTCCTGTTTCTCTGACTGTGGCTGACTGGATGTGCTCTTTTCGATGCAATCAACTAGTTTCCCTAGATAGAAAACTTTGAATAAATTTTACTGTATGATCTTGTTGAATTGTATCTCTAAAGTGCCTTGAGGTGACATGTGTTGTGAACTGGCGATATTTAAATAAACTGTCAGAAAAGTAAGAAAAAGCAGAAGCCGGGCTGGAAACGATTCACCTGACATCTGAAACTAAAGAAATGCCTTTAAATAACAAATCCTGCTCAGCAGGTGCAGTGAAGTTGGCTACAGCACAGTTCAAACAGCGTCACCATGTCGCACTCAGAACCTTCTTCTTCACTCTTCCCAAACCTTCAGAGGAGCAGCAACTCCTGTTAACAGCACTGAGCGCCAAGCTAGGGCTAAATAGCATGATGCCATGCATGTATGTACAACAAAGCTGTCTGTCTTTAGGGAAATGAAAAATTAAGGTTCAGAAACCAGGAGGAAAATCTAATTATTTCCCATTTGAATAAATCAAACTAACTCAAATGAAGGACAACAAACCTGAAGCCAACTTCGCCATGCAGCTGATGTCATAAAAAACAAGTGAAAACTTTACGGAACAAACATTCATAAAAGTTTACTACATGTTTTATGTTCAGTAAACTATATAAGAAAGCCGAGAGGAACGAGACGCAGTAAAGACAAATGGCAGAGGGAGGGGGAGTGTAGGCCTAGTGTTTAGAGAAGTGCGCTTATGCTCTGAGAGGGTTGCAAGCACGGTTTGATCCCCACAGCCTGCACTCTGGGTCCCTGAGCAAGACCCTTAACCCCACACTGATCCCTGAGCACCGCGCAATGGCAGCCCACTGTTCCCGAAGGGGAGGAGTTAAATGCAGAGCGTGAATTTCTCCAATGTTGGATTAATAAAGTTCAGTTTCTATCCTTTCTATTTGTTTTCTATCCTTTCATACAGAAACAACTGAGCGATAAAGATTTTAGAGATGAAGAAGGAATGAATTTAGGAAAGCTGGAATGGATCCACTGTAGAGGGTTTATTATGGAGGGAATTTTGCTCCAAAATTGTTCAAATTTCTATTTGGAAATGGAAATTGGAAAAAAATAAAACTCAAACCAGACATGAAGCTGTTTCTAATCAAAAAAGGTTTTGAGATTAACTTTGCTGTTTTCTTTTTTTGCAATTTCTCTTTTTTTGTTTTGTTTTTTTTTTTTTACAGATTTTACATTTTCAAAATTTCTCATTTTATATTGAGTTTTAGGAACTCCATTCTCTTGAAATTGCATTTTCAGATTACATTCTCTTCATTTCAAACGGTCGCTCTTGACCAATAATAATGTTGCTAACATCTAGTAGACCAACAGGAATTCATCTTCGTTCCTAAAATCAGAGGAAATAAAATTTGAAGAAATAAAATAAGAAAATATATAAAAAAAAAACATTAATATGAAAAGAAACGCAAAAAATGAAATAATTGCACTTGACTCTATTACACTTCAATTAAAAAAATGTAACACTTCCATGGAAGTTTTCTTAGCTTTTTAAACTTAGCTGCATGAGTTTAGAAACACCTGATTAAGGACGCGTTCACACCAACATGCTCCTTTAGTTTGGAGCCAAAGGCTGACTTTTATTATTCCTAATTTGGTGTTATTCCCTTTCAGAAGAACAATAACTCCTGATTATTGCTCCAAAGAGCAGAAATGACCTTAGTATAACATTCAACCCCAAAGTCTCTGCTACGGTGGCTCAAGAGGTACTTACAAGCCTAAATTCTCTGCAGGAAAGCTGAGTTTGGCTCTTATTCACAGTAGAAGTAAATTGAACAACAGTAAAGTAAGTTTGGACCAGGAATTAGTTGGTGTGTTTCAATCTACAGCTATGGAAGAAAAACAGTCTTCTGTTTGAAGCAGGTCAAACAACAGGAGGAAATTCATCCTAAGGTCATTTAGTGCTGCCAAGGCAACCAGATGCTTTTCCATCAATGTTTTTTATGTCTATTTTTTAAGCATTGCATTAGAAGAGCTTGAATGAAGACGCAAAATTTAAATCAACTAAATTTGAAAATGTTTTAACACTCCCTGGAGATGGTGATTTGAATTTTACTCAAAAATTAAGTAATTGCATGATCTTCGAAGATTTAGAATAAGGGGCATTAAATCACACGTGCAACTTTTGTT